TGTTTTTAAAGATTTTATTCATTTATTTGACAGAGAGAAATCACAAGTAGGCAGAGAGGCAGGCAGAGAGAGAGGGGGAAGCAGGCTCCCTGCTGAGCAGAGAGCCCGATGCAGGCCTCGATCCCAGGACCCTGGGATCATGACCTGAGCTGAAGGCAGAGGCTTAACCCACTGAGCCACCCAGGCGCACAGAAGCATTTTAGTTTGATGGAGTCACGCTTGTTTATTTTTGCTTTTGTTGGCTTTGTTTTTGTGTCAGATCCAAAAAGTCATCACCAAACCCAATGTTACGGAGCTTATGTCCTGTACTTTCTTCTAGGAGTTTTATGGTTTCAGGTCTTAACACAAGTCTGTACTTCATTTTGAGTATATTTGTGTATTGTGCCAGATAGTGGTCTAGTTCAATTCTTTTGCATGCGCTGTCCAGTTTTCCCAACACCATTTATGGAAGAGACTGTCCTTTCTACATGTACCTTCTTGGCTTTGTCATAAATTTGTTGATCGTATAAACATGGGTTTCTTTCTGAGCTATTTTGTTCCCTTGTTTTAGGTTCCTGTATTTATGTCAGTAGCACGCTGTTTTGATTACTGTAGCTTTGTAATGTAGCTTGAAATCCAGTAGCATGATGCCTTCCACTTGTTCTCAGGTTTGCTTTGGCAGTTCAGAGTCTTTTGCGGTTCCATACAAATTTTAGGATTGTTTGTTGTGTTTCTGTGGAAAATGCCATTGGATTGCACTGAATCTGTAGATTATTTTGGTTTGTTTGGGATTCTAACAATATTAATTTTTCCAGTCCACAGCATGGAATATGTTTCCATTTATTCTTTAGTTTCTTTCATCAGTGTCTTATAGTTTTCACAGTTACATGTCTTTTACCTCCTTGGTTCCTTTATTGCTAAATATTTTATTCTTTTTGTTGCAATTCTAAATGGGTTTGTTTCCTTGATTTCTCTCTCTGGTAGTTTGTTATTAGTGTACCATCTTTGACTTCTGGCCATTTGATTATAATGTGCCTTGGTATGAGCCTTTTGCGTTTATCCTAAGTTTAGTTTTTTGAGCTTCTTGAATTTGTGTATCTTCTCTTTCCTCAGATTTTGGAAGTTCCAAGCCATTAATTCCTCATATAATCTCTCTGCCCCTTTCTGTTTCTTTTTCTGAGACTCTTAATATATAGTGTGACAAGTGTCCTATAGGTCCCTAGGCTCTGTCATGTTTCTTCATTCTTCTTTTTGCTTTCTGATGAGATGATTTCAAATTATCTGTCTTCTTGTTGCTGATTCTTTCTTCTGTCAGTTCAAGTCTGCTGTAAAATCCCTCTAGTGACTTTTTCAGCTGTTACTATATTTTTTAGCTCCAGAACCTGTTGGCTGCTTTTCTTTGTTAATATTCTTCTCATTTCATTCATGCATAATTTTCTTGATTTCATTTAGTTGTGTGTTTGCTCTCTTAGGTGATTAGACATCTTTATGACCATTATTTTAAATTCATTGTTAGGTACCACATAGATTAAATTTTGGGAGGGGGGGGTCAATTTTTGGTTTCATTTTGTTCCTTTGTTTGGGCCACATTTCCCTATTTCTTTCTACGCCTTGTGATCCTTTGTTGAGATGCGTCATTTGAGGAAACAACCACCTGTCCCATTCTTTATGTACTGCTTTTGTGCAGGGGAAGACCTTCACCAGTAAGCCCAGCTAGAGGCCCTAGGACCTCTCAAACCTTTTGTGATCTCCTTCTCCTCCTGGCATCTGATTGCGTCACTGTAGCTCCAGTGTGGTCTGGTGCTCATCTCTGTTTCTAGTGACTCTTAAACTCTGCTGGTCCCATCAGTGTGCTGAGTCAGGGGGACAGAAACCAGTGCCTTGGGCAGCTCCCAGATAAGCCACAACAGTGGAGGCATAGTCTACTCTTGTGTTTCCATCCCCGGGGGAGAGCTCAGGATGGGAAGTTTCCTCCTGGTTGTACTGTATGCTGGGTGAGGGCAGGGGCATGAGTGGGCATGCAAAATAACATGAATTTTCCTACCCCTTTTACCGGAATCCTGTCTTGGTTTTTTTTTTTTTTTTTTTTTTTTAAGATTTTATTTATTTATTTGACAGACAGAGATCACAGGTAGGCAGAGAGGCAGCCAGAGAGAAAGGTAGGGAAGCAGGCTCCCTGCTGAGCAGAGAGCCCGACATGGGGCTCCATCCCAGGACCCTGGGATCATGACCTGAGCCGAAGGCAGAGGCTTTAACCCACTGAGCCACCCAGGCGCCCCCTTTTTTTTTTTTTTTTAAATTGTCTTGGTTTTATGCTGGCCTGAGTCCTGTAGCTTCTCAGCTGGTCACTGGAGTTTTCATAAAGGTATTCTAGTCTGTGTCTAGTTAGGTAGTCTAACTAGATACAGGGTCTAGTCTGTATCTTAACTCAGTGTCTCTAGTAGGAGGGGGCACCTGGAGCTTCCGAGTCTACCATTCTGATAACATCCTTCTCCTTTTCTCCTTTCCTTTTCTTACTCTATTATTTTTTAAAAGATTTTTAAAAATGAAGTGTAACATATACACAGAAAACTACATAATTCATAATAGCACAGTCTGATGAATTTTTAGAAGTGAACAGTTACTTATCTCCTAGATAAGAAACTAAAACTTACCAGCATCCCAGGGCCCCATTTGCCCCCTCCCATTCACTACCTTGACTTCTCTTTTAAAAGTAACTATTGTCCTGACTTCTCTATTCTGACTTTCAGCATCACAGAATTTTTTCTTTCTTTTCTTAAAAAGTGATCTCTGCACCCAATGTGGGGCTCCAACTTGCAACCCTGAGATCAAGAGTTGGATGCTCTAATGACTGAACCAGCCAGGTGCCCCAGCCTTGTAGACTTTTCCCCCCGTTTTTGAACTTCAGATAAATGAAATTGTTCTTTATAAAAGTTCACTTAAGTATTAAGATGTACGTGTAAACATGTAGAAAAGTACAAGCATCATACATGTTCAGTGTGATGAACACATCCACCTAACCAGCATCTAAATCAAGATAAAACATTACCAGTGTCCCCGAAGTCTCAGTAGTATCCCTTCAAGTCATTGCCAAGGCCTCCCCTTGTCATCACTACTAAGGGAAACCACTTTGAGCAGCATAAATTAGTTTGGACTCCTTGTACGTTTGGGAACCCAAATATACGGACTATTTTGTGTTTGGCTTTCATTCAGCATGTTTGCGAGATTCACGTTGCACGTAGCATTTCCACTGTGTACTTTTCTATCACATGAGCATAGCACAGCTCATTTGTCCATTCTGACTTTAACAGACATTGGAGTTTTTTGGGTCGTTGTTGGTTGTTTTGAATCGGGCTGCTACTAGCATCCTTGTACATGTCTTTTGGTGCACACACCACCACACACACACACACACATTTGTCTTGGGGATTCCTGGGTCAGGTCAGAGGACAGCATGTTTCATTTTAGCAGATTCTTCCAGTTTTCCAGTGTGGTCGTACAAATTCAGACTCCTGCATGGCACTGTACAACTGCAGCTGTTCTACATCCTTGACAGTACTTAGCATTGTGAGTCTTTTAAGCTTTTTTCAAAGCTCACTTTTTCCCCTGGCAGTAAAATATACATAACAAAAGTTACCATCCTGGGGTGCCTGGGTGGCTCAGTCGGTTAAGTGTCTGCCTTCAGCTCAGGTCATGATCCCGGGGTCCTGGGATCAAGTTCCACAAGATCCCACAGAGCTGGGATCAAGTCCCAAGCTTTGCCTGCTGCTCTCCCTGCTTGTGCTCTCTCTGTCAAATAAGTAAATAAAATCTTTAACAAAAATAACAAAACCACCCCAAATTTACCATCTTAACCATTTTAGGTATACAGATAGCGGTAGTAAATACCTTTGTCATCAGCACCATCCGTCTCCATAATTCTTTTCTTGTAAAACTGAAACTGTAACGACAGCTCCCTGCTTCCTCTTCCCCGCGGCCCCTGGCAACCGCTATTCTACTTTGTCTTGCTTTTTTACTCTAAGTCTATACTTCATATAAATGGAATCATACATATTTGCCCTTTTGTGACTGGCCCTAATTTCACTTAGCATAATGTTCTCAGTGCTCATCCTTATAGCACAAGCTCATTTATTTTATCTTTTAAGTAAAAATATATTACTATTATTTTTAATCTCTTCCCCCGACATGGGGGCTCAAACTCATGACCCCGAGATCAAGAGTAGCCTACCAACTAAGCCAGCCAGGTGCCCCAAGTTCCTTTATTTTGAACCTACTTATTTACTTTCCAATGTAGATAAGAAATTTCATGATACAGTTGTCATTTTTAGGTTATCTTTATCAAAATGTGGTCATCTCAATTTCTCCTTTTCAATTATTCTATCAATATGAATTGAGGGAGAAGTTCTCCCAAGTGAAAAGCTGCTTAGGGCCTGGAAGTAGAACACTGTGCCCAGTGCCATGAAGTATCATTAGTTCTCACATTTGGTGAGATGCAGGTACGACCCCAAGTTGGGAGATTCCCAGGAGCCTTTGCTAGCACCCTGCATCCGGGCTTTGCAAGTTTTCTTCTTCCTCTCATTGGAAGCAACCTGAGGCTTCTTCAGGGATGAGTGTTGTATTTAGGGGGACGTCCTAGGAGAAAGGGCAGAGAAGGGGTAGGCCTCCACAGATTACATATGATCATTTCCATGAAAAGAATGAAAAAGTAGATAGCGTCAGACTGATCCAGCTGACGAGAGATTCAAATTAGGGTTTATCGACCATTTGCCCTGGATCATAAAGGTTCCTTTTTATCAAAACTTGATCAATACAGAATGGTGTAAAGTAGAACATGAAATTGTTTTACTGTAATAAAAATACTAGGTGAAGTGTGGATCCAATGTTTGAACTTCTCAGGACCTAGAGGGAATGATGGATCGAGGACTGTCAAATGCCATTTTTCAGGAATCTAGGTCATTGAGACAGGGACAAGGAAGGGGAAGTGTGGCTGGAAGAAGTTACCCCCTTTCTGCCCTTCTTAGTTGCCTCTTGAAGTGGATTTAACAAAAGCAAAAAGACAAGATTTTGAACCATCTGTGGAACAAGCGAGATACAGCAGCTTCCGGCAGAACGTGGCTCTGGGGTCGCCCAAACCACAGGAGGTGACATCCCCTTGCAGACCGAACCGCTCGGGTGATCCGCACGCTGTGGGGCAGGAAGAGAAGGCCAGCGGCTCCCGGTACGGTCATGGTTCTCTCCCTCTCCTCTCCTCCCCGCGGGGTGGAACGTACCTTCCGGTTCACCGCCCGCGCCGGCGCATTGGGTGCTGTTCGCTGCGCTGGCCCCGGATCACCCCAGCTTGTTCTCTCGCGATGCTCAAGTCTGACCGGCGCTGAGAGCGAGGCCACCTACCAGCGGAAGCTCCGGCAGAAGCAGCTGCAGCAGCAGTTCCGGGAGCAAATGGAGAAGCAGCAGCAAGTTCAACTGTCTGCTCGGGAGGTTGAGAAGAAGACTCAGGGTGTGTGAGGAGGGTGGGGGCAGGGGTTGGGGCCGAACCAGACCGCAGTAGGACTTCTCGGGTTCCGCGCAGGGTAGAGGAGTCTAAGTGCCTAAGATCATTTCCCCATTTTTCAAGACAGTCCTTTTTTTTTTTTTTTTTTTTTTTTTTTTTTTTTAAAAGGGAAGGAAATGGCCCTTGAGAGAACCTAGAACTAGAAATTTCAGGGTAGAGAACATTTCTCAGGTACTTTGGCCGTGTCTGCTAGAAAAGCCTTTCTGAGTGGTCTGTGAAGAGACGGTGGAATGGTTTGAGGATAATGCGGGCTTTTGGCCATGCTTCATCCTTGAACTTCAGTTTATTCGAGACAACTTAGTAGTAGCACAGACTGTTTTGTCTTTCCCAGAGTAGAAACAAAGAAGGGGCTTATCCCAGACCAACTGGACTTTTGCCCAGCTTCTAAGATTCAGAGGACTTTCTTCGCGTTTAGTTCATTAATATTCCCCTCAGCACTGTCAGGCTTAAACTAGTGTAGGGGGAAGAAAACTTATCGTGGTGGGGATGTTCTTAATAGTAACGGTTATTCTGGATCTTGAGCTTCCAAGCCACCGCAGGAGCTCCTGGCAGGAAGGCTGTGGGGGAGGGACCTCCCACAGCCAGAGCCGCAGTTTCTATTGGTTTTAGATTTTGAATTTCTGCTTAAGATTTTTTTTGGGGGGGGGGCGGGGAAAGGAGGAGATAGCTTCTAATAATAACCTGTTTTTGCTGCTTAAGGAGAAATGAACTCTTCCACCCCGTCCCCCAATTTGGTGAGAAGAAAAAAGAATCCAGTCTTTCTAGTCTTGTAGATCTGTAGGCGGGACGGGATCAGGAATCTTCTCTGCTCCTGGCTGTGCTAGAAACTGGTGTGACTCTAGCAGCTTCGCTCTTCTGAGGCTCTCTCCAACGGTTAAGTGATTCTGTGACTTTGTCCTCCCCACCCCCTACCCCCCAGTGACTCTGGCAGCACTGCCCGCACCTCCTCTGACGCACAGCACCCCTGTGACTGCAGTTTCTGAACCACTCGCAGAGAAAGACTTCCTTACAGGTCGGTAAGAGCTATGGGCATCACTTAAGCATTGATCAGTAAGTACAGTAAGTACCTATGACATGCATTTTGGGCATAAAAAAAAATCTTCATTTTTATCTGTTTTATAGTCCCATGAAGTTTTGGGGGAAAAAGGGAGCCCAATGGACTGATGGCAGGTCTGAGGACACACACTTGGCTCCTCTATTGACCTAAGAGAAGCTCCAGTGTACTTTCAGGGGTAGGGGAAAGAGAAATGCCAGGAGCTGTCCCAGTCCACGTGTGACGTGGGATTTCTTAGGACCAGCTTTCCCCAGCGCTTTATGTGAAAACACTGGGCGATGCTGCATTTTCCCATGATCTTGGTCCTTGCAGACAGTCTTGGAATGTGGGATATGGATCCAGATGCAGGTGACAGTGATGTCAGGCCCTTGTCTAAACCAGAACTGCTCCAGACCTCTGCTACACCAGCTCTGAAGAACCAGAGGGTGACTTGGGACAGGACCCCACAGAACATCTGCCACCAGAATCCACAAGCAAAATCGGGACCCTCGCATTTGCAAACTCACCACCTCAACCAAGATGTAACAGGTAGTGAAGTGTTTAGGAACAAAAATTAAAAGAACTTGGGCTTGATTCTATGCCTTTTAAAGGAAGAATGATATTCCATTTGAAGAAGTTGGGTACTGTCATGCCAGAGGAACAGCGGTCTAAGAAAATGACAAGTAACTGGTTTGAGCCACAACTTTTCCTTTGAGGTCCTGACTAGAGGTGCAACCCCTTGTAACCCTTGATAGTAGTAGGAAGCTTAACCATGAACTGAATGAAGAGCTTTTCCTCATTAAAGTAGGCCCATCGCTTTTGGTTACCGCAACTTGATCTAGCGTTAACGGAGGGCTCTGCCCTCGTAACAGTTTTCATTCTTGGCTTTTTAGCTTAAGTTAGGATTGTTAACTAACAGAGTTCAGAAATTACTAGCTGTCAGTTTATTTCTTACTTGGGAAATAACAGCAGCCGCATTTAAATTATTTTTTTCTCCTGTAGGAAACTGTGATATCACTGGGAAGAACCAGGACTTGAAGAAAAGGAAATTGGATCCATCCTAATGGAGGCTCAGGTCACATCCTTGACTTTGTCAGAAAGGGACTTTCAACAACTACTTTTTGGTCATAAAACTGTTCATCATTCCTAGGGAATGAGCTTTATTTCCAAGGATTTGCCTTGCTTCAACCTAACCAGAGGATCTGACTGTTGGAGCCTGCCGCAGATAAAGCTGAGCAGTCAGAAAACCATGCTTTAAAAGAGCTTGTCACACCCTGCAGGGGGAGGCTCGGAGATTAACCACCTTTTCTTTGGCTCTTGAGGTTCTTCACTATTTATTCCTAAGCTGCTGTGTTAGTATGTATAGAAATTTTAGGAATGCCCAGTGGCTACCTGTCCTGTAAGCAACATAAGCCATGCTACTGAGCACCAACTTTTACAACTGCCTACATGGAACTGTAACGTCTGCCTTCTTTCACCGTGGGGCTCGGGGTTACTGTAGTCCACAACTGTGTTGTGTATCCTCCTGAGAACAAAAGCTACAGTGGCGTTTAGCTACCTTGCATCAATCCTGGCTGCAGTCTTCATCTATGATAATCTCGTTTATAGGTTTATGGTGTCACTATCCTGCAGTTTTTTTCCTGATCAAGGAAATGAAGGCCAAAGAAAAGGCATTTTAAGACCGCAAAATAAATTCTTTCCTTTTGTAACAAAAAACACAAGTGGGTGTTTGTATTTCTCCATTTCAGATGTGAGATATAACCCATCTTAACTTGGGTTTTTTTCATAGTTTTACATGTTTCATAACCCCCCGCCCCCATGATGAATTTGCAGGTTCTTTTTAAGATGCATCTTGGGCTGTGCCTTTAATCTTCAAGCTGTGGCTTTTATTAATTTTTAGATCACAGATCCATTTGTGGGAAGCTATGAACCCGAGGCAGGGAACTCCTTTAACGTACAGGAAGGCAGTCAGCCATTTCTATTCCCTTGGAAGATGAAAAGGCTGTAGCTTACCGTGATTTCCCTTTTATCGTATCTCTCATTACATGGATCTGGTCATATGTTCATCTTTTGGTTTTGACACCCTTACCTTTCTTCTTCCCCCAGAAAAAAGTCTCTCCCTTTTCTGAAGCGTAATCTTAGTTCAGAACTGCTGCTTTAAAAAAGTTCCCGGCTTGCTGCTGCTTTAAAAAAGTTCCCGGCTTGCCCTGTCAAAAATGCATATATAACTTTTGACTCCTCAAAAACTTAACTATTGACCAGAAAGAAGATTTACCAATAACATAAAGCCGATTAACACATAGTTTGAATGCTATTTGGATTATATACTGTATTCTTATGATGAAGTAACCTAGAAAAAACAAAATGTTATTAAAATTATAAAAGAAAAAAAAAAAAAAAAAAAGTTCCCGGAATCAGGAATCCAGTTATAAACTGTACACAACTCAAAACTGAGCTAATGAGATCATGAAAAAGGAATTTGCTGGAAATGAAACCCCACAGCTCAACAAAAGCAAGTTTGGTTTATTCGAATGGTTTCATTAAATAAGTCTACAAAGGTAACAAACTGAAGCACGAAGCGCAGTCTTACAAGAAGCGCCACACCCAGAGTTAGTGCAAAATGTACAATTAACAGCTGCTGAGAAACCCCCAAGGTTTGAATTCAGTTTATTTGTTTTTTTAAACAGTGTACATTGTTAAATAATGTAAGGAAAACATTTATAATTCAGAAAGATTTTTTGTAATGTGGAAAAAGATACTCAAAGTGTACTATTAACACAAAAATAATTTAAACAGTTCAGTAGCACTAGTTCATTCCTCTAGGCTTTAGTTACTTCATCCACAGGAGGGAAAAAAAAAATCAACAGTAAATAAGACCAGTTCTTACTTTTTGTGTGTAAGTGAAGAGATCTCAAAATTAAACCAAAATAACAAAAAATAATGTGCTGCATTTGGTTCCCTCGTTCCTCTAGTAAAAAGTACGGTTTCATTGATATCAGGTGGTCCGTTTCTCATTTACTTGGCACCTTCTTTGTTCTATCCTTACTCTTCCCATCTCCCCAAGAATCTTAAGCAGAGAATAAATAAGTAAACAACTTTGAAGCAGGGCTTGGAACCCCTGTCCTTTTCATTTCTACTCTCCTAAACCTTCAGTGTTCTGTGCATCTCCGGGACCTAGGCTAACTTACTGACGAAAACGGGGCCCACGAAGGAACAACAGGATAGGACAGCCAAGCAGGCTCCCCCTATTGTGGTGATTCCTGGGATGTGCTGTTGAGGTGGGTAAGAGACTGGAAATGTGTTAACTTCCCAACTCAAGACTCAAGAGAAGCAGCACCCAAAAAATTAGGAGTCCTAGCTTCTTTCTGCATCTTCACAGATAATAGAGATCCCGGACATAGCCAATTTAGGAGAGTTATTTCCTGAAAGCTCTGAAAATAACAGAACTGCCCATTACAACTAGGCCTAGCACTACATAATACTGATTGGCTGCGGGGGGATATTTGTTTATATGAGAATGTGAGAATATCAGCTGCAGTTCCAGATACAGAGGTGGCACAACAGATGTATGATCCTGCAACCATCTGGACATCACACAGGAAATGAATAGGAATAAGCCCTCTGTCTTATGATGCTTAATTCAGATGTGGGTCCGCTCTCCACAAAATACAGTACCCCAAGCTGAGAAATGCATGATATATTTGCAACAAGAGGAAAGCAAAGTTTTTCTTAGAGCATCTTTCTCCATCGGTGACTTTCCACTATCAACGTTTCCCAACTTAAAAAGTAGCCCCCACCCCCTTCCCTTTCTATTCAGCCATTTCCACTAGGTCTTGTCTGTCAAGCCTGACGATTAAGTAAGGCTCATGGCACCCCGTGGGCCAGGTAGCACACAGCTTCCTGACAAGTCTGTTCTCCTGTTCTTAGTCTTCCTTTCATTTATCACACACCACCCTTAATCTTTTAAATTGCTCAATTTTGTTACCACACCCCTCCTTACTGTTCTTGAAACAGGAACTTTCTGCTTTCAACCACTGATGTCAACTTAACTTCTCACCCTGCTCATCTTACACCTGCTCTAGACAAAACTGAATGACTTCAAAACAAAACAAAACAAACAACAGAACAAAACACTCAGTTTCCCTTTGGCATAATCCTCTGCTGGGGTCACATGGACCTAGTAGCCTTCCATATGCCCTCTGCTGACCTGGGGTCTGATGAGAAGTTGGTGCTAATGGCAGAAGCAGTAGAAGTCCAAGGCACTAAAATATCCAGCAAGCAATACTGGGAGAACAGAAGTATTCAAGTACAGTAATTTATACAATCTTACATTCACATTTATTTATCTACTACAATGGAAATACAAAGGAAAAAGCTAAAGTGTCTCAATAAGTAAAGGACAGAGCTTGCTTTTTTTTTTTTTTTCAACTTTTTAAACCTTTCATATTTTACTCTTAAAACTACTGTTGTCCAACAACATTTATATATCACAGTGTTTCCACATCAAAACTGATGGCAAAGTTACATGTCCGCAGGGGACTTAATTTTTTTTTCCTAATTGCTAATGCTGCAGTCAAAGCTGCTAATATCATTTGCTTAAAGCACTAATGACCTATTATAAGAAAGGGTTGAAACCTCAGTCCCCTGGTGTTTTTCACTGGGTTCTAAACCAAAAAGAAAGAAAGAAACAAAAGTAAAAACAAAGAAAGGAAAAAAGGAGGGGGAACAGGGTAGGAGAGAGCCCAATAGTTTTGTTTTGTTTGTCTTGTGGTTTAGGTTCTTGAGGGAATAAGGGATTTGGGGTGGGTACCAAAATTAAGAGCTCCACCCATTTGAAAATACAGATGGGTTTGGTTTTCCACTGAGCTCTCTTGTTGCTTTCTGATAAATGATTCTCTTTTCTTGCCCTAACTATTGGGTGTAGAGAAACAGGAAAGCATAGTTTGAAGCCGCCCCATCACAAGAAAGCTGCTCTTTTCTTCTTGTTCCACTCCAATAAATGGTGAAAGGGGAGGGACAGTCTCAATTCTGAGGGCTCTAAGCGGTATTAAAAACATTCCTTTCTGGCAAAAAATAACCAGTTAAATGCAGCACTAGTAGTTAGTATATAGGCTACTTTCCCATTTCCCCCCTCCCACCCACCCTTCAGCATTCCATCTCCTGCCCCCAAATCTACTCAGTTAATGTCTCTAGGTCTAAGTGGTCCGCAGGTTGGAACCTGGGGGGTTGCTGATGGACTTCTGCAAATTGCTGATGTTGAAATTCTGTAAGGAGGCAGTTCCCACAGGTTGGAACTGGCCAAGCGGCTGTGGTGCCGGGCCACCTGTTCCACTCCACTGAGTGCCAAAGGGGGGAGCTGGAAAACCGTACTGCTGTGGGGGGCACATAGACTTGGTGAAGTGACCTAGAGAGGTAGCTGATGCTGCAGAGATGGGGGCAGAACCACCCAAATTTGAGGTCATGGAGATGCACAGCTGACCAGGTGCAGAGAACTTCCTTGCCATTCCAGGGCCCTGAAAACAAAACAAGTGCATGTCAAGTTCGGTGTGGGTATAACCCAGAGGGGAAATGGGTGGTGCCAAAATCTAATTCTCAAACTGGGGCTGTTCGAACCTTACAGGGCATAGTAAAACCAAAATCAAAACCTTTCACAGTTACTGTCTCTTTACACTTGCCAAATAAGGGTAGAAATTACTACCGTGCTTGGAAGTGGGCAGAGTCACGTGCATGTGTGTGTGTGTATGTATGCAATTCAGGGTGGTAAGAGAAAAGGGGAGAAAAAACCGAGTTGACAAACAGGGAGCTAGGGATTCAAAGACAAAAGGGTAACTGGGTGTTGGAATTTCTGAGCTGCTAAAGAAGGCTACCACATGGAATGCTAAGCACTAGTTAGGTAGTTGGTACCACCTCTGCTTCAGGCGTGTGCTAAGTGATAGTCTGCTAGATTAGGGAAATGACAAAAAAAGGAGACTTGCCTCGTAATTCATGTGTCCTTTGCTTCCTCTCCTGCCGGAAAGATTCATGGCATCTCGGGCCCAATTGTCTACCAGCTTGTGCAGGTCATCTGTGAATGTGCCCTTCCTGCTGGACGTCATGGTAGGAGGCTGAGCTTGGGCGGCTTGGCTGTTCACTGTTCCCCCAACGGTGTTTGTGCTGCTGGTCCCTAGAATCAGACGAAGTAACAGAACACAACCATTAAAAGGAGCTTGGGTTAGAACTTCAGAAAGAGGGAAAACTTCACAGGATGATGAATGGCAAGCCACTGAATGAGGAGAGGATAAGCTGGGAAGGCATGCAAGAGGGGAAGGGTTCAAGGGTTTGTCTGGCCACATGTTCCGACATAAGTAACAGGGTAATGAAAACAGATTCTCTTTAGGAGTTGTGGCAGATGAAGCTAAAAACTCCGGATGAGGGCAGGCACAAAGGCTGGGGACTGCTTTTAGCCCACTCACATGGTATTTCAGCATACTGAAACTTACTTGCAGCACCCCATTCCCAGCATCACGCTGATGAGGGAGGTGCGCTAAGGTCAGTGAGGCTCTAGAATGCTGCAGAATGCAGGGCAAAAGAAGATGATTTCTTGAGCCCTGAGGCAGGGTTAAAAGCAGGAGTTAAAGGAATGCAAAGGTAGGTTGCCTGGCCCGGGAAAAGATGGGGTTCCCAAACCATGTGGATACAATGCCACAATCTTCAGCCATTCTTTAACAGAAAGAAGCGATAGGAGAGATAGCATGCTCTGTTCAAAAACCTTTTTCACCTGGACCCACACACACAAATTCATAAACATGAACTCGGGAGGAATGAAGGCTTCAACCTCTCCCATTTGCCTATGAGTTAAGAACCAAGATTACTCCTGAGGAAGGTTCTCTGCAGTGCCTGAATTGTTCAACTGCAGGAAGACATGGTTTTCCTGAAGATGACCTCAGTTTCAATTGGTTCATGAATTCTCGCCCCTCCCCCCCTTCCCAGAAGAGCAAGCACTTGCAAGTGGAAGCAACAGGAACATTCAGCTGAGGTAGGAGTGCAAAGGGAAGGAGGAAGCTTTGAGGTTATGATGAAGGAATTCTATTTCTATGGTTCGATGAGAAAGGAAGAAGGGGTCTGTGTCCTGCCTGATTTCGGCTCTGCTGGAGGGCACACTGAAGATTATTCGAAGAGGCAAGTTTTAGGGAAGAGGGAAAGAAAAGTCAGGATCTTGTTTTTCTTCCCTCACCCCCCACTTTCTTACCAGATCTCACATTTCCTGCAGAATAAATAAAAGCTACTAAGGTAAGTTGTGAGCTGCTAGGCCTTCAGATATCCAAGTAATGCTGGGGGCTCAAAAAAATGCATACATATTCCTGCTTTCCAGGTCCACGCAGCACCAGAGCACAGCGGCATGCCCCGAAGCAACTCTGCCACATAAAAGCCCTAGATAATCCGTTCACTGGCCTCACGTCAAGTTTATACCCCACCACCTTGGGAACGGCACATACAAGCATGTCTGCATTAGAGTAACAGCTAATTCCGAGGTGAAGCTGCAGAGTGAGGACGGTCACATGCTTCTTACCACCAAGGCAAGACATGGATCTACTGCAGTGTGTGTATTAGCTTACTTCTTAGTGCCCACTGGAGCCACAAGGGGATAGCGACTGCACAGACAGCGTGAAGGGAAGTGTCAGTTCCCCTACGGTACAGGAGACCCAAGTGGAAAAGGATAAAAGCACAGGAAACAGCCTACCTTGAAAAGCAAGACAGACCGTGGTGAGGAAGCAGAGAGGGAGAAGCGCAAGCAGTGAGGGTGGCAGTTGTGATAGTGATAAAATCCAGAAAGCAAGCATGTCACATGCATGACGACTCTCTTCCTGTTTGAATAATAACTGTTTGCTGAGCTTGATGATGAGTGAGACAATCCAAATGAAAACCACAAACAATCACAAGTGAGCAGAACTGGTAAAAGCGAAATCTAAGCAGCTCAGTAGAGGTGAACACTGCTCGTTCGCGAGGAGCCGTGCTGGGCGTCACACCTCTCTAGTCGCCTCTGATGCCGTGAGGCTCCTTTATAACCAAATTTCATTTTTCATTTTAATCTGTCTTACACAGGACTGGATTCTGGAAGTGGGGTTTATAGACCACGATGGGGGAGGGGTCAACCATACAGTTAACCTTTTTATTCTGGTTTCTGAAAACAGGCTTTCCCATTAAAGGAAATAAACACGTCTCTCTCTGACCAGAAATGAACGCCTGGCAACAGCTGACTTGACTACGAAAGCTAGGAGAATGGATAGTACGTTTAGCGCATTTAGTCCATCTTAGCAGTAAATGGGTTAAGAACACTACTTGCAATGCAGGTATTTCTGAGAACGCTGACTCCCTTCCAGAGAGAAGTAACCTTGAAACCTTTCTCAGTTCTGCTGCAAAGCTCTAAGAAGTAGTCTATGTTTTACCATCCAAAATCCATTTTTAAATTTTTTCCTGCCATAATACATTTCCCACGCCCCACACCTCCAGATCCGAGGAACAATAATTTACTCTGAGTCACAGCTCATTGCCCAATACGCCAAATATACAGAGTTTTCTGACTGACCCTCTAGGTGGCCGGCTGGGTAGTTGAACTGTCTGCACTTTAATGAGAAGCCACCAGTCTAAGAAGCCAACTCTATAAAGTAGTGCTTCTCTCTTCACCAATCCACCAGATGTCTCCACTATGATTTGTGGATGTGGATTTTTCAGTGTTTGGATCAGTGCTGATTTCCCAGTGGGCGGAAGAGTGGCTGGCATGGACCTGCTGACTAAAGGACTCCCTTTCCCCAAAGAGCCAGGCATCCCTGATCTCTCTATATATCATGGGCTATCAACCCGTAATTGTCACAAAGCCAGACTCACAGAGGGTCATCACATGAGAGCAGACTATGAGGTGATTTCTTAATCTGCCAGTGGTCAGCAATTAAGCATGTTAAAAAAAAAATCTTAGAAAAGGGTGCAGAACTAGATAGATGGAAAATGGGAATGAGGACGTTGTGAAGCTTCAGGGTTCCAAGAACTCATGGATAACACGCTTTGCAATCAAGGACCAAAAAGTAAGAGAAAGAAAAGATAATTACTACAGAGCTGGTTGCAAGGACAGACTTTTTTCACCATCTTCCCTGAAGCACAAAGAGAGAGCAACGTGTTAAAGATAAAGAAACATCCATGTAAAATATTAGAAATCTTTAGAATCTCCAAATAGCACACAAAGTCCCAGCAAGAGAAAGCAGAGAGAGAGACAGACTGGTGGGACCTTGGAGCTCCTGCCACAGGTAAAGTTCTATGGACGCATCTTACGTAGTTGTAACATGGGTGTCTGAAGAACGGAGGTACCTGGCTGACAGCAGAGCTTCCATACCCAATTTTGGATCTAAGAGTAATGCTCTGCACTAAGGTTCTGGGATGGGAGAGGAACTCCAGTCTCTCAGGTCTTACTGCTTGAATTGCAAATACCCAAGCAGTCTTTCCACTGACCCTGTCCCACTTTCTGTTTCTCCTGCTGGTTGTTAAAAAGCACCTGATTAAATGCATTAGCAATTCTACCCCAGTAGACTGACAGTACCACCATTATAATTTTGAGTCAATTTAAACTGGATGATACATTTCCAAATCCTAGACATACACACTAACTGCCTCCCCTCCAGAAATCTTTAAAAGTATCTGGAAAACGAGCAACTTTTGAACATAAATAAAGCATTAAGCCAAGCCGTGCTTCCAAACCATAATCTATTTTGAGAGCACAGAATAACGCATCTAAAACTAGAAACATCCCACCTCTGTTAAGTACCTGTTTTCCCTTCCATATTTGCTTTAAATCTGCCTCCTGCAAATTTGTTCACCAAGGCTTATATGATATATACTCAAGTGCCTTCAACAGATGTAGGGTCTCTTTTTTTAGACCCAAAAGGAAGTGATAAGATTTAATATTTCTAGCCACTTTCATTTAATGTTACAAGTGTGCCACCACCTACCTTTAAGAGTGTGTGAGAATTTAATTAATTAATTAATCTCAAGTGTATCTCTCACATTATGCTTCGCAAAAAAGCCTTGGTTCTCTTTCTTCCCTCTTAGACATCTCAGGCTGTATAATATAGGCCTGACATGTTACATCCTACTTTACAACACTTGTCTCCTACTATTGAATTCTTTTCATCTTGCTAGCTGGACATAGAAATTAAACGCTTACTTAAGTGTCAAGGTGCTAACATGCTCGGTCCAGCCTGGTCTAACCAGAAAAGCTACCCAGCTGAGTACCCAAAAACCATACATGCTTTGGAAAGCTACCACATTGGATAACACCTTCCACCTCTGTTCAGTAGTCCTGGACTGGTGATACGTGAGGCCCAAGGACCTGTGAACCACACTCAGAAACAGTGATGACCTTTGCACATGCATTTAAAAAGCACTTCAATAACCACATCAGAAGTTTGAGGCCTCAACAAAGATCTTTAACCAAACTCTAATAAAGGTTTTCTACCTGAGCCTTGTTTTTGTTTTTCAAATTTTTATTTCAATACACGTTTACTGACTGCCTACCGTGTGCCAGGTAGGCACTGGCTGATCAGGAAGGAAATGACACATGCTTCCCAAGCGCTGCCTATGCTTGCGCATGTGATCTTATTTGATTTGTACAACAGCCCTAAGAGACAGGCATCATCTTCATTTCCCCTTCAGGATGACAGGCTGAGAAAGCTGGGTGATCTGCTATTGCCCCTCACTTTTAACAAGAGAGCTGGGAAATCCTAGCAATCATGCTTTAAAGACCATTTTCACTGGCAGGTGCTGGGCTTTGGTCCTTTAAAGAATAAATGCTTAATCAGAATTAACTATACAGAAACCCTTTTGGAAGTGCGGGTTTTACGGACTTAGAGGGTGGGTGCAGGGGAGTGAAAGGATCCAATGCAGAGATTCTAGCATCATTTCAACTGAGAGATGGTTAGGCTTAGCTGAGAAGAAAAAAAGATTTCAATATACTCGGAGAAAGAATTAAAAAAAAAAAAAAATGGGTGTAATTCTCCCCTGGTGCCAGGATCTAAGTGTATCAGTGGTCAAGAAGCTCTCTGTTACTTCCAGTGCCAGAGCAAGGGACGGAAGGGACTAGGGAGGTCAGTTTTCACTTACTCCAAATGAGCCAGCAGTCTCTACAGCATTACCACCTTTTCTCTGTCATGGACCTCTGAAGAAGCACTTCTACCAGAAAGTTTTTTGGAAGTTTACAGAAACCTATTATTATCTCTGTATCTTTAATCATAACTAACAGAGACTCAAACTTCTGATGGCAACAGTAGTTCAGCCAAGCCACTGAGTAGATGATATACAAAGAGACAAATGAAAATGGACTGCATGAAACATCAGATCCAAGCAGCAGAAAAACAAGGACGAGGAAGGAGTAAAGGTGTTACACACAAAGAGCCAAGCAGGGCGTACTCAGAAATCGGGTCCTCCTGCCACCAGGTTTGAATGTCACCTGTTCAGATGCACAGTTAAACTTCGCACAGCCTGTGGGAGGGGAAAAACAGGGAAGAACAGAGAGAGAAGAGACAGAACACAACTACAAGATGTTAGAAACTCGAGGCTGGAGTGGTGAGATGCGCTAAGATGGCACACAGAAGAACAAGTCTCCAGGGAAAGGTCAGATATCTAGGACAGAAAATACCAGGTCTCAGTGCCCTCCCTCTGCCAAATGCTGAGGCTCTCCCGGTGGGAATAATGCCGGCCAGTCTGCACTCCGAAGCGAGCAAGTATGTTCATTTTGTGAAGAGACACACTAATCTTTAATTCCTGTGATATTGTGGCAAAAGCCCCTAGGCGAGTTGCCTGTATCTTTTCCTACTCTTTTCCACCCAGATACCTAAGTCATTCCAACTGCCATCCTACTATTGCTAGCAGCTCTCTCCTCTACAGGAATGTTTCGAATGATCATTAATAAATAAAACTATATTTAGGAAGCAGTTTACAGATAAATACCTGAATTGTAGGGCTATTTATCTTAGTATGCTACTCCCATACTTAAAAGTTTAAAAAGTCTGCACTGGCTAAGAAAACAGCTTTCAGAAACTGCTAAAACTTCTTTGATTTTGGTTCAGGAAATCTCGGTCTAGTATTTTAAAGTGTACGTTCCAAATCCCAAATGAGCTGTTAATTTGGTTAAAGTCCTCATATAAGTCACAAATGTAACTTTCTGCTATAATCCTTTGAAAAAAGTGATTTCATCTGATAAGAGCAGTGAGTTCACCTAATCTAATCATTACCCAACTTCCCCTTCCAGCTCAAGATCCATAAATGTACAACAGACAGGCTGTGTTCTGGTCAGCTGCTTTTCCAACTGACCTTAACAATAGGTTACTCTTCAGGCCTTTGCCACAGATATGGCAGTTTTTAGAAGCTGAAGGTTGCTTTGACTGCTTACCTTGACCTGGAGCAGAAAGGCTTGGTACTGAAATGGCACCATCACTGGTAAAGGCTGAATAGAGGTTGTCACTGGAGGGAGATGGCTTAAGGGGCTGTAACAGCTGATTCTGCCCAGTCTCTGGGATATTGCCAGGAGGGTGGAGGGTCTGCTGGGGGTGCAAAACTGAAGCAGCACTCTGACCAGACAGGTTACCTGCCAAAAGATAAAGCGGCATGAGGAAACGTGTACAGCTTTCCCAGTGCCTAGAGAATAGGCACTATTCTCATTCCTCCACTGTGTCCCACTAAGTGACTAATCACAAGTCAGAAGCTGTAACTGATGAAAGAAAAAAGGCCTCCCTCATGGGAGGGGAACGGAGGAATGACATGAGAATCAACAGGCGATAGGGATATAGGTAGCTTTAGATGACCTAAAAGGCTCCCAAGTCTCAGGTGAGTAGAACATTCAGTGGGTATGAGAGAATTCCATGATCACTTTCCTAAACGCTATTATAAAACAGTGAGCTGCAGCATGACATCAACAGGTTTGGTAGGTAGTCTCTTTTTAGTCTTTTTCCCAAGTATGTGTCAGATCGAGTACAGAAGTGGTGTCAAAACTGATGCAAGTGACTACAGAGTAATGCATATTTAAAATTATTTTGTGGCAGGTGGCTTTTATTCCCTAGGCAACTGTCTTGAAATTGATGAATGTGTCTGCTCCCTACTAATTTGTGGAATAGTAGGCCACTGAAAAAGTATGTCAAAATTGGGATCAGGATCTCAATTAATCCCTTATAATCGTATTTCCACCGCTGAATTCCACTGAATTCCACCCTTATAATCATATTTCCACCTCTGGTTCTAACGTGCCAGAGAAGAGGTTTGGGTTTCTGAAAGCTTCCAGGAAATGGAAAGCTGCTAAGAAGTTTACAACTGCTTTCCAACATATATTTACATTAGATCTGGAGAGAAAATACAGGTACAAACTTATTTCAGTTTTTTTCACTTTTCAACTAATTATCTGTTAACATTATCATAATTTCACTGAAGGGTAAAAATTCTATCACAAAACAGACAAACTACAGTTCATTACAAGATACTATAATTTAACTATTTTTTAATTACAACCACTAGCAAGTTTATTTCAATATAGATAAATGAAATAATAACTTTAATCAAGAAAAGTACCACCTAAGACATATATGAAATTTACATTCATTCCAGCTGCAATTATGAATAATTTGTTCACTGAAGGGAAAAATCTACCTGAACTTTACTAAATAAATTGTGTACTTTCTTCCATTTGCCTGTGAGTTTGGTGAAATGTGAGTTATATGAGTAACCAGGTAATGCTAAATTATTTATCTTTAAGGACAACCATAAATGACTACCAGTAGACAGTAATATGGATCACAATGGAATAAGCCATTGTACTCATCCAGTCTACTTTCACAGACTCAACGAAAAGAGGTACTATAAACAGGGGGGAGGAAAAGTCAAGGAAGCAAGAATATTAGGAAAGTCAAACTCCCCTGAAATTTAACAAAAACAACAAATGTTCAATAGGTTACATACAGTTGAAGACAGAAACAAAAGATGGGAAAGCCAAGGCTGACCTGGTCCATGGCTTTTTACCTGAAAGCTGGGGGCTTTTATTCCCCAAGGAACTGCTGCGACTAGATTTGCTGCCTTTGGTTTTAGTGGGTCGCCTTCTTCTCCCTGAAAGAGGGGCAGCTGGGGGAATAATGACAGCAGGTGGAACCTTTCCCAGTTTGGTATATAAAGATTCAATTTCATGCTTCTGGCGACTCTGCAGGTCTTGAATTTCTTTAAGATGTCTATGAAAGATAACCAAACATAATTCAAAAACGTTATGACCACTTTTGTTCAATTAAGATTTAATAAAATATTCTTTAACCTCCATTTTAGTATTTATTTACTCATGAATTTTCCCCCCAATATACTTAACCTAATTTCTACTACCTCGAAGTTCTAGTTCGTCATCTCATACTGTTGGCCTTCATTCCGACAGGCTCCTAACCACCAACAAATAGTTGATGATGTGTTAGGAGAAAAGGTTTCCTGACTTTTGAGGCTATACACAGGAGTACTGAATTGCTACTCTGACCCAGTTGATCAAATATGACCTATAAAATTTGCCAATATAATCTATATCCTAATGCCCTTACTGGATTCATTTGGTAGACTAGTAAATTAGATTAGGTTAATAATGATAAAGAGTGCTATTAACAAAAACAAAAATATAATAACAAAAGGTGAAGAAGTTCTAGAAGTAGAAATGCTCTGGGTCCTTATAAGAGACGTAATGAGAACTACATTCAGATAACTAGCTTTTGCGTATCACCCTCTCTCTAAAAGAAATGAGATATAAGCATATTGCAGTGAAAAGAATACTAATCTAGGCACCAGGAGCTAGGTCTTAACAGAGTTCTGCCATTATTCTTTCACAGAAGAAAATATACTTACTTTTCTCGCAGTCTTCGCAGCTCTAATTTTAAATCTTCATCTTCAATATCTGACTCATTGTCACTACTCATGTAAGAGGAGTTGAATGAATTACTAAGGCTTTGACTTAGATTCTGGATAGGCAGGCTCTTCGAGCTCAGCTGATGAGGGGAGTGTGGACTACCTGAACCATCATCCACATCCCTGCTAAGGAAGGCGGCCTCCAGGTCCGAAGATGGCCCATTCAGATGTGAAGGCTCTGACAGTTCAGGCTTCTCTCTCTTTGGTATCACAGCAGGGAGAACACCTTGTTCCAAATCCAGGAAAGGAGGAGATGCTGTTGATCCCTCTTTCTTTGCCTCAGTGATCTTGTCTTCAGTTCTTGATACAGAGAAACGACCTACTTTGTTTGCTGTAGTTGTCACCTGAAAACGTCCCACTTTGGTAGGCTGCCCAGTTTCTGACTTCGCTTCTGAGGCAGGAGTTTTGTGGGCGCTATCTGGCATATCTGATGAGACGCCATGAATGGTTATCCCATTAGGCTCTGCCTTCACCAGCGTACTTTCTGGACTACTACTTGATAGCACTGAGGACTCTGAAGTACTGGATTCAAAATGAACAGACTTTGTTTCTTCTGACTTATTTTTACCCTCTTTTTGGACATCATCCATTGCAACGGAAACCTGACAGAGACAAAACTGAGATTAAAAAACAGTCTCCAATATCCAATTTTCAAACGGACCATAAAAAAAAAATTGAGGGGTGTTTAGCTGGCTCAGTTGGTAGAGTATGTCACTCCTGATCTTGGGGTTCTGAGTTCAAGCCCCACAGTGGGTGTAGTGGAGATTACTTAAAAAATAAAATCTTAAAAAAGTGAATTACTTTATTTCCCAGTAGGTAGGCTGGGATGTTTTTTACTTAAGTCTTTATGTATGTAAAATATGTCTTTATATAAGTCCCTCCATCTTCACTGTGAAAATAAATGGAATACCATTATAGAGAACAACGTATCTGTACAGAGATTTATAGATTAGATACATAGATTCTCATGGCTCGCTAAGCTTATGAAGTAAATAATTTACTTTCATATCTCATGCTATACACAGGACTTACATTTATGTCTTTGTGGAAATAGAAATAACAACAGGGAATAGAATCTTGAAGGCTGCTTGTGCATATGACAACTACAAAGATTAAGTCCAATAAATGTTAAATGCAAACTAAGCTTCAAGAATCAATACAACTAAATGGGACTATAAGATCCACTACTATTCCCAACTCCCAGTGCTATCCTGAGAATAACTGGAAAGCAGTTGTGAAACAGTAAAAAAAAAAAAAAAAAAAGAAAAGAAAAATTCACTGGTTGGACCAGCTGGGAAAATATAATGATAAGGTATCACTTGATGCACAGTCAGTATTTTCACTTCAGAAATTAATCCTAAAAAATTATCCTAAACATGGAAAGTGTTTTTATATTCAAAAATGTTTCCTGTTATTTCACTATACTGGAAAAATCAGAAACAACCTAATGACTAATAATAGGAGAATGAGTTAGGTAAACAAAAAAGATGGGGGGAAAAGCCACAAAATATCATTCAGAGAAGTAGCAGGGTCAATTGTAGATACACACATGTGCGCAGAAAAGGAACGGAAGGAAACACACCTTCCTAATCCTAGATGGGGAAGGGAGGTGGGGGGGATGGGCAGATAGTTTACTGTTTCTGTACTATACTAAGTATTTTATTTTTTCTTTAATTGGCATGTATTATTATTATTTTTTTAAAGTGTACTTATTTACTTATTTTTAGTAATCTCTTTCCCCAACGTGGAGCTCAAACTCATGACCCCAAGACTGAGGCACATGCTCTTCTAACTGAGCCAGCCAAGGATCCCAGCATATATATACATATATTTTTGCATGCATTACTTTTAAAAGGGGAAAATGATACAGAGCTATAAAAAAGATATATCATTTAGTTGGCAATTATGGCCCAAAGTAATAATTTTATTATATACCTATTCACCCCAAAGAGGAAATCAAGGCAAGGAAAAGTAGTTGTCTTACCTGAAATCGTCCCATCTTAAAAACACCAGTTCCTGAACTAGTAGTTGCTAGGACAGGACCTTCTGCGATCTGAGAAACTAAAACAAGTACATGAAGGAGAAAAAGAACTTAAATTAGCATCTCTTTTTAGCTAACTTCCTTTCCCTTAGGCCAGAAATATAGCAAAATAAAACTATGTATCAGGTGAGGAAAATTGTTTGAGGCAAGGACAACATAAGAGATACTATAAAACTATGGTTAACAGACAGTAAGAATTCAATTACTTATTCTTTAACTCAAAGATAGATATAAGTAAATGAAGAGAAAACATGAGATTTTACCTAGGATATTAAAGACCCATTTTTAAATGAAAATCACTATGACAAACTGGTTTAGGCAATACTTAGGAAAAATCCTAGAACAAAAAGTACAGGTGTCAGAATCACTGATAAGTGGTTTTGAACTTTAAAGTCACCTAGGTCCTCCTCTCTAGGGACAGTCATTTGTTTGAGGTTCTTTTTTTTTCCCTGGAGATAATGTACCAGCATTTTCTTTATTTTATACAACTAGTAAGTTGTATTTTATACAACACTGATTTTGATATTTTAACAATAGATCTTACAGAACATTCCATATCGGTCTCATTCTCTTTCATGGCTGCATAGTGTTTTAGGTCTGTCTGCAGGCTGTATGTATGCAAATGTACCGTATTTTAAGCAGATTTCTGCTGATGGACATTTAAGGGTTTCAGAACCTGCTATTATAAAAGTGCTCTACCAAATATTTTCTTATAGATCTGTGGAATAAATACCTAAAAACGGACATACTGAATTATACCCATTTAAAACTTCAATAGACATTACTAAATTGATCTCCAAAGAGGTTGTATCAAGTCACTGGTAACTATTAAACTTCTGAATTTATCAGTGAGAGGTAAGAAATGCTATCACTTACTAGTCTTTTTTGTGATACGAATATACCCCCCAACCCTGGTTTTCATTATTTGGACCTCATGGCACTTTTTCCAATGCAGAAAATTTTGAATCTATTATTGCTTCTGGGGTGAGTATTAAATGTAGTAATAACAACACTTTCCTATCAGGGATCGGCAAATTATTATCAAGGACCAAATTCAGCCCATAGCTTGTTTCTGTAAATCAATCTTAGACTACAGAGCAAAACTCATTCATTCATGTATCATCTATGCTGCTTTTGGGGTATAATAGGAAATTCGAGTAACCGCAACAGAGACTATACAGCCAGCAAAGCCTGAAATACATACTTCTTGGCCTTTTATAGAAAGGTTGTTGACCCTGCTCTAAACAGTTAAAGAAAAAGAAAAAAGAGAAGAAAATGATTCCTTTTATGTTTTATTATAGTACAATTTTACAATTCCATTTTCTATCTTCGATCCATTTGGAATTTATTTTAGTTGAGACTGGTGATTTATTTATTTATTTATTTATTTATTTTCCCCCCAGATGGCTGTCCAGTTGTCTATCCCAGCACTTTCTCACTGATATGAAAGCCCACCTTTTTCATATTCTACATTCTCTTACAGTTTGTCCCTTTCTAGACTTTCCTGGTCTGTTCCACTGATTTTCAAGTCACTTCTTTTAAAATGAGAAAGCGAATTCAGAATATAATTATATTGAAAATAATTTAGAGAGGTTTGAAGTGAAATTTAGAATTTAAGGATGAAAGAAAGCTGAGCATTCCAAGTAAATCTTATCAATAGTTATACAGGGAAATAGATCTATGTAGGTGGTAGTGAGGAAAATGGATAAACTATATAAAAAGGAAAAATATTAAGAAAGTGCTCTACAAAATCACATAAGTACAGCTCACACTGAATTATTTCTACTTCTGAAAATAAATGGTTCTAAGGGAAAAGGCGACAGAAAATCAAAGCTTTAAATTTCCTAGTTTCTGGGGAACTGGTCATGTCATAAGAGATTCACAACAAAGCTTTAGAAAAGAACTAGATAGTATGAACTTATGACCTAGCGCATGCTCATGAAAATTTTAAATTGTTGGTATGGATTATTTTTACAAAATTTAGTTGGAAATATGACTTTCTAAAGAGACTATATATATGAACATGCCAATTTTAAAGACTCCAGAAATAGGTAAAAATGCTTAAACTGATTAAAATCTTACATTTGTATTTCTACCATCCATGTTATTTAAGATTATCTCTATCTCTATCTAGTGTCACAAAAGCCAAGAGGTTAAGGTAAATTAACTTTTGAAAATACGCCTGAATTTCCTCATCTCTCTTGGCAAGGATCTGGCTCAGCTAATAACAAATGGTCTTATTCCAAGAAACTATCATTACCCTTTGCATGCCCCCCTTGAAAACAAACAAAAACAATACAAAAGATTCATTAATTTGCTAATATGACATGTTCTAAATATTAGTACTGATGCTCCTCAGTTACGAAATACATAAAAGTGTTTTTAAAAACTGTCTCAAATACACCTACATTCTTAAGAAAGTCTTTGAAACAGTAATCCCTATCTATACTTGATTATAGAGAGGACTGGAAATGGTAACATAAGAGGAAGAAGGATGCTCCTCACCATCCTTCTGAGGCTGTGCTCCTGCTTCCGTAACTGCTGTTGGAGCCACCACAGACACAGGCTGCAAAACATACACACAGATACCACAAAATCTTTAGCTTCAGTCACTCTTTAAACTTCTGCCATGCTCTCTTTCCTCTGGTCTTTATAAAGGGCAAAAGAAATATAGTATATGTGAAGAAACACTTAGGTCCAAGGGAGCTTTCTATTTTTTTTTTTCAGCCTAAAAAGAAGTCTGATATAAAAAAAAGATTTTTAAAAGGAAGAAATTCTGAGTTGTTTCTATATTGTTTTCTTTATTTTTCTCACGGGATACTTAAGAGTATAACTTCGATATTCATAGAAAAATAGTTTTAATCAGAACATTGTATCACAAGCTTAAAATGAAGAAGTTAAAACTTTTAATTTAAAGAGTACAGCTTCCTCCAAAGCATAAAAGCAAAATCCATAGGACTGATCTATGGTATAATTGTAACCAGAGGTAAGACAAGAAAAGTATCTTTCAAATAAATGAAATCTTTTCCACAGTTATGCCACTGGGGTAGTTGTTAATCTTACATCCAACTGCCTCATTTCTGTTTGCTGGAATAAGCAAAGACTCTGAATTAATAGTTCTAATTCTGGTATTAATAGGTTACAGTATGCTCTGGGAATATGATATACTGTGATTATGGAAAGATGTCAAGATTTTCAAAACTTACACCAACTGTGGATGTCACTGCAATAGTCTCTGGACTAAGTGTTCTTCTCAGCTGAGCATCAAGATCTTCCAGAGGTTGCTGGGACTTAACAAAAACAAGCACAATAAACAGAGGTCTTCAGCATAGAGCCATTATATATAGCCAATCTATATAGAAATACTGTTTGATGCTTTAGATTGATACAACATATTATCTATTCAATGAAAATGAAACAATATACTAAATAACTTATATTGCTTGAATGACTTATGTCAATTTCCCAAGACTTAGAGAAATTCAGTTGTATTTACGTTTTTATAGTTTTGAGGTCTTCTTACCTTCTGCTGATGTTACTTAAAGTGACAGAAAAGTTTCTAATTATCATCTCTTTAAAAATTCTGTCCTCTCTTTAAAAACATTCTGATAGGGGCAGCTGGGGGGCTCAGTCAGTTAGGTGTCTGCCTTTGGCTCAGGTCACGATCCCAGGGTCAAGGGATCGGGCTCCATGTCAGTTCCCTGCTCAATGAGGAGTCTGCTTCTCCCTCTCCTCCCTGCTCCTGTTCTCTCTCGCTGTTTCTGTCACTTTCTCTGCCTCTCTCTCAAATAAATAAAATCTTTAAAAAAAAATTCTGATAAATGTATCAAGATTTATCAGTAGATTAATTGTTATCACGCTCCTTATTTTCCTTTCAGTTCGGTACATTTTTCTGAGAACTGGTCCTTATAAATGGCATTAATATACCCTGTCACTATTGAGAGATATTATTCTTTTAAGTCCTAATAATCTATACTTCTTATATGCTACAGATGGCAGCAAGAAGGAACTAGAGGTTTAGAAAGTCCATCCTTTTATCTGGGTCTTACTACCATCCACCCAAGGCCGTTAACTTTTTACCTTTGACACAGACTGTAATCCCACATGTCTTGGCTTCTATCCACCTATTGTTCTGCAGCCTTCATTTATCTTTCTCCTTCTATATCTACTTACCTTCACCCTATCCCCCAATCTTATTTGCCTTTCTTATCTTATTTGAGCCCTCTTAGGAGTCTGAATGCATGTTTTTAAAGAGAAAATAAGTGTAAAACCCCTAATTTACAGAATTGCACAATGTGTTTTTTCCCCCAAATTTAGTGGCTGATGGATTGAGTTCTCTTTGGAGTTATCACTTTATTCTAGCAAGTTCTTTAAGTTATGTTCTATTGTACATCTAGGATTATATAAGTAGGGATAAATTCAGCCTTCTCAAGTTAGAAATTTATCATGTTTTCCTTAGATACAATTTTAAAATAAATCACTGTTTTAGTTTCAATGTTTATGACTTTGTCTCAGGGCAGAAGCGTTCTCAGGGTTATAATGAAGTCATAGTAAGTCCTTTCCTTATGGGAACTCAACTAAATGTGGGGTGGTAGAGTAGGGTGGGAAAGGGAAATGATAATTTAAATACTGCACATAGTTCTACCCAATGATCAGAGCTGAGTGTGAGATAGGAAACTGACATTCATGTTACTAGTCTCAGTTCTTGTATGAGTAATCTCATGTTAACTGAGCTGTGTGGGTTTTGTACTGAAAGATATAATACGTATTTTTTATGAAGTAGGACACTTACATCCACCTACACATAAACTAATTACTTTGTTAGGTCGTCAATGAAAGAAATGTCAAACATTCAAGAAAAAAATTAGTTGAACTCACAGAGAAGGGGCATGATCGGTTATCAGTGTGGTATCTTTTCTTAAGGAACTTTCAAAGTTAATTTTGATTACTTGTAAGTTTTTACTTCCACAATAGTCTAGAACCTAATCTCAGTTCTTAGATACAATTTCATTCTACAAAACTGTGAATGACAGGAGTTATATCGGTCTGGTAAAATGTAAACCTTGCCATTTTCTTCCTTCATAAAATATGAAAAAGTATTACTATCAAATGTTTTCTAGATGACTTGAAGCAGTATTATAAACAAAAGAACTACGAAGCTTCTTAGTTTAAATAGGGCCTGGATAATTAGCTACACTGTGGTTTTTTTTTTTTTTTCTTTTTAAAGATTTTATTTATTTATCTGAGAGAGAGACACATCGAGAGAGGGAACACAAACAGGGGGAGTGGGAGAGGAAGAAGCAGGCTTCTGCTGAGCAGGGAGCCTGATGTGGGGCTTGATCCCAGGAGCCTGGGATCATGACCTGAGCTGAAGACAGACACCCAACAACTGAGCCACCTAGGTGCCCCAGCTACACTGTTTTAAAAGAAAGTTGTTCCTAAGTCAAAACCAAAGAGGAGCCAGAAGCCAAGATCATGCAGTGGAGAATTTAACTAAGCTTTGTGAAAGAAAAGTAGGGATACAAAAAGAAATTTGCCAAGTCTTGGGGCAGGGCACCTGAGTTAGTGAAGGTCCTGGAAAAGGTGGCAGCTGCTCGCTGGGTGGAGTACCAGCTGGAAGTTCAGTACCCCCTGGCAGCACCTATAGACAATGAAGGGAAATTCAAGTCCATGAGACACTAAGAGTAAAGACTGCATACTGGAGAGCGAATCAATTAATTTCAATGTAGAAATGTAAGAGTAAAATATATCTATAGTTAAGACATGCTTGTCACCTGGCTTATATTCTGGTACCTATCTTAAATAAAGGACAATATAACCAAGATATTGTTACAGGGGTTACTACTGTATACCAGTAAAATGAATAGTAAAATTTAGTAAAAGGTTATTCCCTAGGGGAAAAGAGAATCAGAGGCTTTAAGGACATGAGCAGTACAGTTTAGATATTCTTGAGCCACTGTTTTGGTATAGTCTCATCAGGCTTTTCTTAAAACAAACACTTTTCTGAGAAAACAATACAGCTCAGAAACAACCAAAGGCCAAGTCTGATAACAAAAGTCATCAAAAATCTAATACTATTGAACAGTTTGTACAAAGCCTCTATTATTACCCTACTATAAAAAGAATTTTACAATCAATGGCAAAGCAGAAAGATGAGTGTAGCACAGAACATAGTAGGAAAAAAACACAGCCTTGTTATTTGGAGAAGATCAGGGAGACTAAAGATGGCAGAATGAGAGGAAATCTACCACAGCAGAATTAGAAAACACATTTTAGTTATTTTATTCCTAAGATTAGATTTTTTTCCTCTATATGAAATTTCATTTCCAACTTTTAATTTTTTATAAATCCCAAATTGTACATCTGTGGAATCTAAGCAAAGCAGAAAATTTGCTTCATTCTCACTGAAAAAAAGGCTGTGAACTTCTATTACTATGTATACTTGGTAGCAGAAACATTTAGCTTCCTTCCGGGACACAGATTTCTTTAGTTGGTACCAAACAGGAAGAAATGTCTACATTTTACCTACTATACATCCTTAGAAAATCAGGCAGTATAATTAACTCCCAAATCCTGCCATATTTCAAAAGAAAAAAGTATCCTGTGTTCAATGTACATATATCCTAAAATCATTTTCAACTTATTTAATAAATACCAAATGTCTAATATAGATCAGGCTATCTTTATAATTGCATTACTCATTTGCAAGGCTGAGTTGAAAAAATGTACTTATGGGCGTGGGGGGGAATTATCATATTTATCAAATTATTTCAAAACAAGAATCTTACTGGAGCTTTAGTTAAAGGTGGCTTCAATGGAGCAGTTCCAGCTTTCACTCCCGGTGTAGTGCTGACTGGGGCTGACACAAAGCTGACTGGGGTAGAAACTTGCCCAGGTGTGACCACTGGCAGAACTGACAAACCAGTTGTGCCTAATGGCAAACTGGTTGGTGGTAAGCATGTACTTGTAGTGGAAGTCATGAGCTTGCTTGGTGCAACAGCAGTGGTTGGGATACCTGGTGTGACAGTGGTCTCTACTACCAGTGAAGTCTCTAGTGAGACAGATGCATGTTGGGCTCCAGATGAGCTGTGTTCACTAAAGAGAGACCGCAGCTTTTCCTCTAGAGTCTTTATGTCATCAATTCCAGGCGCTTTGGGCTGTGAGTCAGCATCTATTTCAGGACAGTGAGTGTGGGGCTGGTTGGGAAGTAAAGCTGGTTGAGGCTGACTATGAATTAGTGTCTGCTGCACAGCAGGCACACTGGCAACAGGTTGTACCAAGGGTGGGATACCAGGTACTTGGGGTAATAACGGTGTAGAAGTAGGTCCTGCTGCTTGAGGAAGGGCAGGAGTAGAAGCTACAGCTGATGGGGTGACCAAAGGATGCACCGCACCAGTGTGAGAAACAGAACTAGATAATCCTGCTCCAGGGGTGGAAGATGATGATGCAGAGAGGGACAAAGCCAATCCAGTTGTACTGCTATGAGATGTTTTATCTAGTGAGTGTGCACTAACCACCACTGTTTCGGCTAGAGTTGGAGCAGAGGTGCTACTGCTAAGCTGAAGAGACGGCTGCAGAGCTATGCTGGGGAATGGCGTGGTGGCAGGAACAGATGTTAATGTGGCCGCCCCAGTAGCACTGCTCGCCACCTGCTGAGATAGTACAGGTGGAGGCTTAGCACCCGGGGCAGCAGCACTGCCCACTGCAGAGGCTGAAGTTGTTGAAACTGATGTAGAAGGCAAAGTGCCTACACTAGAAACAGTGCTCCCAGATGTGGGAGCCTGAACTGGCTGGGATGTTGCTGATATCGAGACAACTGTAGGTACTGTGATGCTCGAAACCACTGTGGAAAATACTGGTGATTCAGATACAGGTGGTACAGGGGGACCACTTGAAGGTATCACGCCTATGCAGGTGGCAACTCCACCAATCCCTGTTTCAGTGGGCACTGGAATCTCAGATGGAATTACTGATGTGGAAATGTCCGTAAGAGGGCTGCTAGTTGCAGGGACTGATACTGAAGGTGTGGCTGCTGCTGTGGTTGGGACTCCAGCAATGCTACTCATGGAAGGAGGGACTACTGGAAATGTTGGTCCTGTATGACTGAAGTTGGGAGGTGCCGTGTTGGGCCCTTCTGTTATCTGGGCATGTCTAAGTTCAGAAAAGGCCTGCTGCAGGCTAAGAGATGAAGCAGAGTGAGACAAGTTCATTCCAGCGCCGTGAGAAGTAGAGGCAGCAACTGCAAAGGAAAACATAAAATTCAGAACTAGTTCATTTTAAAAAGGTGGGCTCAAAATTGTCCTAACAATCTATTTTTGGATTATCAACATTGCCACATACCAACAAGGTTTAAAACTCCTAAGGAAATGACAGGCTCTAAAACAGCAAAGTAAAAGAGCAGTTTGGTCAAAATAAGTTATTGGCTTGTGTGAATATTTCTAGGGGCAAAAAAATTTGATAAGGAGGAAAAAGGGAAAAGAAGTCACCACAGAGCATCTATAATAATCCTAAATGGAGGAATGAACACATACTACTCTACAGACATAGTATCTATGATACAGGCTACATCTAGTGCAGTTCTCCTCTCTGGCTCTTGTCTTTCAATCCTCTCGATTCATCATCTATTTCCCTCCCCATATCTGTTTTTTATAATCTCAACTTTCTACTCTTCTTTATTGTCTATGTCATCATTTAAACTATGGCTTGATAACCAACCTTTCAATATAGCAGAGATGTTGTAGGATTAATAGAGGTTGTGGTAGAAGCAATTCCTTACCTGTATCTGATATTTCACTAGTGAAAACTTTTGATTCTCGTAATCGACTTTCTGGCACAGGACTCACTATAAACCGTCTTCCGGCAGAATGAACAACTTGCGTTAAAGAACTGGTAGGAACGCCTGGTTAAAAAGAAACAAACCACTTAATTGCATTATTTATATATTGTCACCAACATGAGGCTTCATTATTAGTATACAACTTCTTAGGTCAAAGGTAAGAGCAAACATGGAAAGAAAAGAAATTCACCTATTTGCTGTGGCATGGAAGATGCAGGAATTGGTTGTTTGAACTCTCCTTCCAACTTCTACAACAAACAAAAGTGATCAAATTCATTCTCAAACACAGTCTTAGAGATTGGGCAAAGCCAATGGCCACATGCAGAGAGAACAAAAATGTCTGATAATCTTAGTCACAGATGTAATGCGGTATCACTGAACGCTGTGCATGGCAGATTTAATACCACAGCATTATTTTGAATAAACAAAGCTTCTTTATAGGAATGGTGAACCTACTTGAGAACCTGCAAAGCCATAGTCATCCTTTCCCTGCAGACTCTCCAATCCCTGGTCACCCTCTGGTTCCACACTGACATCCTCACTGAGCATTTCATCAGCTTTTTCAATAATTTCTCGTACTTGATCCACAAATGACTCTCTCTCCATTGCTAGAATAAAGTCATTGTTCACCTGCAGAAGAAATGTGATGTCAGTCTGATTATTAGAGTGTTACACATGTTTTAGGTCATTCCAGTGGCCTTTTGTCCTACCCACATTCCACCCGTATCACTATTTATTTGCTACGTAAGTTAGTCCTTCAATACCTAGAGTTAGACATGTCCTAGACAAAAATATCTCTAAATCACATGTTTGGTGTACTAATTATATTCATGTTGAAATAAATATATAACTGTCAAAATAGATTATAAAATACCGCACATTTTCTTAGGGCAGTGGATATGAAAAAGTACTAAAGCAAAACCTGGAGCTCCAAATGCAGACATACCATAATTGTTGCTATCTCTTCAGGATTGTCACCATCTAAGTCGAATTTGAATGTAACCATTTTCCGATTATGAGTCTCTAACTGACATTCTACTACGCGGTCTCCTTTATTTGAAACCTAAAAAAAAAAAAAGAAAAGAAAAGGTACTTAGTATTGCAGAAGCCATATTCAATGCTGCTACTGAATTTGAGAAAGGAATGTGGATTATCACAGCCTGATGTTATCACTATTCCTTGAAGACCTGTTGGTACTTTACCTCTTAAACTGGCAGCAAGAAAACATTAAGAAAATATCCGCCCTTGTGCTACTTCCTCATCTTCCACTGAAGGGTCTGAAAGGAATGTAAAGTCTCTATTCTACAAATTAAAACTTTTTCTTAAAAGTAAATAATGGCTTACTATAAAAATATGGAATTTAACAAAGTTACTGGGTGATTAGAAAATTCCAATCTTTCATCAATACATCTGAGCCATAGAAATATTTAAATGATATTAAGTAAATGTATAAAACCCATAAATTGGTAATACTTACATTCAAAATTCTTAATTTTGGACGTGAAGTCTTTTCATGACGAGAGCGACTTCTTACAGATTTTCGATAATGCCGTTTTGTAGTTCTCCCTTCATGCCTTCCACTGGATGATGGGACATTCTCATTGCCATCACTCATTCCCGAAGCAACATCTGAATGTGCACTTTGAAAAAAGAAAAAGAGTTCAGTGCTTGAAGGTTTAATATTTTGAAGTTTTAGATGATCCTACCTACCAGTCAAGGAAGGAAAATTTTACTTTTACATACCTGTCTATAGAAGAGACCAAAGTGGTAGGCTGTGCCTGCGCCACTGGCACTGGCTCTGGAGGAGCAACTTGAGAGACTCCCTGAGTACTCTGTAAATAGAAAGAATAATACATATCTTGGCAGTAATACATTTTATTTATTATTCATCATCTCCAATAAGCTACTCTTTTTTTTTTCCCCCGTCTAAGTCCTAAAAGCACTAAATTTACTAGTAATTCTCAGTATTCAGCATCTAGAGACAGTGGTCTTAAAATTCCAAAGGAGGTTTCTAGAGCTAAGTCTGTGGTGTAGACTGCATGGTGGGACATCAGCCGATATAGCTGCTAGGTAGTGAGAAAGTAACTTGCATGCAGCCAGCATCTTCCTAGAGGAGTGCAACAGGGCAGGCAGAGCGAAGTGCAAAGATGATTCAGATCTCTCTCCTAGCAGGGCAAAAATGATTACTGGGAGCACAGCAGGATAAGATCCTTTTATGACTGCCAATGGCAAGAATTTATGAAAGGATAAGAATAATGGCTAAAGTACTAGCTAGAGAAGTGAAGTGCTAATAGGGTTAATCTTCTCCAAGGCACACTCACTTCCCAACAGAACAGCCAGTGGCAACAAGGCCCCCACATTGGCATTTCATTCTGCTGGAAGAAAAAGTCATTTAGAAGTTAGTTTGAAAATAGTCTCCAAATGAGTTCTAAAACAGGGGCACCTGTTTCTTCTTTGTCATTTTTATCCCATGTGTTTATATGTTTTATATATAAACATGCAGTAATTCCATTTACCTCCAGAGCTGCTTGCTGGGAGGATGTAGTGGGGGCTAAACTCACTGCTGGCTGGGACACTTGAACCTGTCCTCCTATACTGCCCACAGGAACCAAAAGGTTCGATTCCACAAAAGGCTGCACCACTGTAGGAAAGTAACCTGGTGTAGCCAGTGCTTCTGTAGGCATGGGAGGGGATAGGACTGTAGAAGGGATGCAAATAGAAGCCACGCTGGAAGAGGGAGCAATATTTGAATCTCCTGGGTATTGTGGTGGCAGTCGAGGTGGAAAACCCTGTGACAGAAACGAGGAAGGTGAGTTAGTGCAGGTTGGGTCATCAAATTAGCAAAACAGTAAGACATGCATAAAAAACCCAACAAACAAACCAAACAAAAAAAACACCAAAAACAAAACAAAACAAAAAAACCCCAACAAAAAAAGAAAGCACATAGCAAAGAAGAATAGTAGTAGCCCACTCTCTTTCTAATAATTTAAAGAAGATGTAAAGATGATTCTTGAAATGGTAGACTGGTTTCAATTTAGGGGACAGGACACTACAACTATAAATTGCTGGGTTTTCTCCTCCTGGAGATTAAATAGGAGGAATAAACATAATTCCTTTTAGAAAAATATCAACTTTCTAGCTAATCTTAAGTGGGAGAATGCAAAAACTCTTCAAGGTATCAATCATTCTAGTCATATCATGACAGGACAATCTGAAGATTTTTATTGGTACCAACCATGTTGGTTATTCTAGCCTATTAAAAAAAAAAAAAAAAGAGTAACCTGATATCTAGCATTCAGTCAGCTTACATCAAATAGAACAGAACCATCTTTCTCCTAAGAAGTGTCTTGAGAAAAATGGAAATGAATTATCAGATCTCATTACTATATTAGCTTCTCTGGTTGAGATCAGCTACACTTTATTATTGCTAGTTATTCTGATATTCAGCTATTAGGTTTTCAAGTCCTTGATGGTTTACTAGTAGAACCAAACCCTCTGGTGCCCTCCTTTTGGCTAGCCAACACAATACCTGGTACAGAACATCTCCAGAGGGAAGTGGAACCTCAGCAGCTTGTCCAAGGTTAGCTGGTATTCCCATGGACTGAACTGCTGGTTGCAGAAGTTGTGGGTGAACCTGACTTGGCAGCTGAGTCACAGGCTGCAGAAGGGTTGGAAGCTGACTAGGAACCACAGTTGGTCCCCCCGGAATCCCGGCTGCTGTAGCAGATGAAGCCAAGGTGAGCAGAGGCTGATTAACGCCAGCTGCCATTGTAACGGGAAGGGATGAGAAACCTGTCTGAGCCGCAGACACAAGAGGAGTTGATATGGGAATTTGAGAGACGGGATACTGAGGGAGTAAGGAAGTAGAGAGTGGCTGTCCCAAAGGGAGGAAATGAGCACCAGAGTGGACTGGAACAACTGAGGGTTGTGTCGCAACTGGGATCTGAGGTTCGCCTTGGATAGTTGATACTGGCTGGGAAACTGGAAGCTGGGAAGGTAAAGAAAAACAAAACAGACAGACTTTTAAAAAAAAAAAAAAAAAAAAAGCAAGGCTGCCAAAAGCAAGATTTATGAATTAGCCAAAAAGAAGGAAAAAAACCCCAAACCCCTGCATACATTAGTGTAAGTTAATGTGAAACACAAGAATAGGGAAAGGATAATAGGAGACAAAGAGGCTGACAGACTGGCTGTTTCAGATCTTCTGTTGTAGAAAATTTTGTTCATGCTTCATCATTTAACAATAAAAAGAGGACACTTCCATAGGCAAAGCCTTTTCTGCTTTTTTACAGCTTTATTTAGATGTATTTCACGTACCCTAATCCTTTGTCATGTTTGTTGTCACTAAATGTATGACTGCTATTATAGTAGTTACTGGAATTAAAAATTCCTTCTCCCTGGAAGTAGATTCCAATTCATGTTGCTTCTACAATTCTAAAGTCTAATATTGGCCTAAGAAAGTAGGTATGTAAGTACCATATTTCACTGATTCTAGGATGCAATCATCCCTTTCTACCATCTGGTCATTTTAAACATTTGTGAAACTGAGACACAGTTTGTAATTAATGGTGTGTCAGTACTTGGTTACATAAAATAATGGTGCGTTTTATAATTTCAGTTATCTGTCTGAAATACAACAGAAACAATACACTGGCCAAAATACAAGGACAAGCCCCAGTGTTAAAGTTAAAAAAAGGTCATTCAGTAAAATATACCTTCCAAAGTGATTAGAAAGAGGACTTAAAACAAACACAATTCCATATAAGGGGTTTTTATAACTTACTGTCAGTAGGCAACGGAGGAGGAAACAATGTATAAATGTACATGAAAAATATAGCACAGCTGTAAACCTAGAATATTAGGTATAGTTGACACAATTCTACAAATGTCCAGGTTCAGCTACCAAAGCAGTTATTTAACCCACCACGATTCAAGTACCTGTCAAACAAACGTCTTTAGACTAATAAACCTAAAAGTTAAACATTTTTGGATTGTGAATGCTGTCAATATGTACCTATTTACAGTAACCAATACATGTGCACAAAAGGAACAACTGTCAATTTATTTCTGTGGTGAAAATAACCAACTTCAGTATTTCACCATTAGAAAAGATGGAAACCTATCCATGAGAAAGTCATACGGAGATTCTTTTTTAGCGTCTATTTAGGAATTGAGAGTTTACCTGTTTTCCAGCTGATACTTGAGGCAAGACCTGCGGAGCTTGAGACTGACTGACTGGTTGTGCAGTAGCGGCCTCACTGGAGGCTGACGTCTGTGGAAGTGAATACTGCACTGTCTGTTGAGGAGGGGCTGTCTGCTGTACTCCCTGCTGCTGAAAATAAAACAGAATTATTCAGTTTTATTTCAACTCATTAACAGCCTGGCTCTAAGGAAATATGTTTGCCTAAGGTCTTCTGAATGTGTACATGACAATATTAGTAAGAAAGGCATGCATAAATCCAAATTCAACAATTCCCTTTTACTTTTCTCTTTTTCCTCTGCTATTCTTTCTTTGTGATGGTACAACCAAGAGCAATTAACCAATGTTTCAAAATCGGAGTCACCACTGGTTCTTCACCTATCATCCCTCTTACTCCAATAGTAAGTCATTCACAAAGATCTTTAGATAGCATATCCAAATAGATCCTCTCTCCTTCAACCGCTGCTCCCCATTTTTTTATCCTCTTTGTTGGTATCACCTCTTACAATTTGGTCCTAAACAAATCCAATCTCCTATTTTAATCTTTCTCTTACTGTATTTTATCAACTGTGTAACTAATTTGAAGAACGGTTCTGATTACAGCCACAAAATATTGAGAAAAGCATTGAATGTGGAATTTTAGCTTTACCATTTACTAGCTGTAACACCTGAGAGACTGTTCATTTTACTGCCAAGAAGATATTTCTTTAAAAAGGACATGATCACTCGATTCAACGTAGGGAAAAGGGAGTAAGTGACATTTAGGAATCAACCATGTGCTAGACATTCTGGTATAATACACTTAACACATGGCACATAATTGTAAATTTTGTAATAAATTAATGGCTCTCTCTAGCCCAGCAAAAATCTGAACTTCATAGCTGACTTTCAAGACTCTCTAATACTTGTAAGTAATTTAAAATTGTTGTTAACGGAGCACCTGGGTGGCTCAGTGGGTTAAAGCCTCTGCCTTTGGCTCAGGTCAAGATCCCAGGGTCCTTGCTCAGCAGGGAGCCTGCTTCCTCCTCTCTCTCTGCCTGCCTCTCTGACTACTAGTAATCTCTGTCAAATAAATAAACAAAATCTTAAAAAAAAAAAAAATGAAATACCCTAGCCCCATATCTCAGAGGCAACCACTATTAGTGGTTTGGTCATCTCCTTTATGAATTTTTTTTCTGTAGTTAAGTGGTCATTTCTTTAAAAAAGCTTTTATTTTATCTGACAGAGAAGGAGAGTGTATGCACACAAGCAGGGGGAATGGCAGGCAGAGGGAGAGGTAGAAGCAGGCTCCCCACTGAGCAAGGACCCTGGGATCATGACCAGAGCTGGTGAGATGCTTAACCTACTAAGCCACCCACACACCACTATTAAGTGGTCATTTACACACAATGACATATTTGTTTTTTGAAACAAAAGTATGTCCACTCTATAAATGCTGTTCTCTAATGTGCTATTTTCATTTAATTTATCAATGGCATCAATATCCTAATAATGAACATTTTGGTAGTTTTTTTGGGGGGGGCACTTAAAATAATGCTACAACCAGTATCTTTTTTTTTTTTTAAAGATTTTATTTATTTACTTGACCAAGATGGAGACAGAGAGAGCACAAGCAAGGGGAGTGGCAGGCAGAGGGAGAGGGAGAAGCAGACTCACTGACAATCAGGGAGCCTGATGCGGGGCTTGATCCCAGGACCCTGTGATAATGACCTGAGCCAAAGGCAGACGCTTAATGACTGAACCACCCAGGCGCCCCTTGGCTTTTAGTTTAAAAGTTTTATTCTGTCAGATACTGTCTATAAACATTTCCAACTACATATACTATTTTAAGGTCCTTACAGGCACATGTGTTTTCACATTTTATTTTATTCCATTAACATTTTTTTGGGCTATTGTTCAAAATAAAGGACAGTGAAAGCCTGTAATATGAGTATATGATAAAGGTTCAAATATATGTTGACTCCCTTCTCTATTAAGGGAAAGAGGGAAATTTGAGGAAAAAATTCCCACCTTATACACAGGCATATGATTACCTCTCTCCCCCCTATTAATGCAGAACCAATATATACATTCACTTATTTACATTCGAGCTAAACTGAACTAAAACATCTGTTTCTGTTTACTTTGTGCTTTTTACCCCCTCCTTCCCTTTGGTCTAGAATATTGTTTAGTCTTAGCATCTGAGTATAACTTATAATCAGAGTCCAGTTTAAATGCTCTTTCATAAAGCCTTCCTTAACCCCCTCTGGCTGCTTGAAAGTGATGTAATTTCTCTCCTTTAATGGTGTAACTGGGAAGTAGTTAACTGGTGGGTTGTGCAGTTAGGCAACTTGGATTTAAATTCTGTTTCCACCTCTTATAAGTTGTATAAGCTTGGATAAATTTTTCATCTTTTCCAGATCTTATCTCAGCCTTCCCATCTGTGCAATGAAAATAGTAACAGTATACTTATAGGGTTCATATAAAAATTAAATACAAATACAGGCAAAGTGTTTTGCACATTGAATGTAATCTTATCTACTATGCTTGTTTGTTTTGTAGGAGTTGACAGATAGGTTTACTTGATTATTTAGGCTCCTTTGAAAGTAGTCCCATCTTATCGGTCCATCTTGATAGACCCTCAGTGCCTATCTAGCACATGGTCTTTGGCAGCATGAACTCAATTAGGAAAAAATCTATATAGTTAGTGGTGTGTGTGTGTATGTGTATGTTTGTATGTGTGTGTAAACGGTCAAGAAAGAACAGTTTTATAGACATACACCATCACTCTGTACTTAAAATAAGAGTGAGAGGCATGTATGCCAATTTTATTTTAGAGTATTTAGGGAGAAGTGGCACCTCTGAGTAGGCCAGGAGAATATAGTGGTCTTTTGTGCACAATCCCACTGGCTAATATTCACCACTTCAGCCAAACAGGTATTGTTGCACACAACAATTCAGAATCATGTTTTTTAACCTGTCCCATGAAACCAGTTCAAATAGCCTATAAGGACTATATAGTATATGTTGGACAAGGAAGGGTACTTGATGAAAAAAAATGTTCATGAGCATTAGTTGAATAGAAAGTTAAATACCTGAAGACTCTACATGGTCCTTTGGAAGAAATTATTAAGCAAGCTGTGTTATGGCCTATATGGCGTATAGCAAAGAAATACTAAGTGTTCTAGTAGGAGGGAGTTACTTTTTGGTACCTCATTAATATACAGCATAGCACTAGAAAGGACTCTTGCTAAAAACATGAGAAAAGCAATCCCCTGGGTGGCTCAGTTGGTTGAGCGACAGCCCTCAGCTCAGGTCATGATCCTGGGGTCTCTGGATCAAGTCTCGCATCAGGCTCCCTGCACAGCAGGGTGTCTGCTTCTCCCTCTGACCTTCCCTCTCTCATGCTCACTCTCTCTCTCATTCTGTCTCAAATAAATAAAATCTTAAAAAAAAAAAAAAAGGCGCAATCCCTTATTGGTTACATTCCAGAAACCCATGAAAGAAAGTAAATTTTAGCTAAGTACATTTCTTTCCTCACTCTAATAAAACTAGAGATATGGTTTTTTAAGAATGGGGCTGAAAACTGACAGTTGGTAAAGTGAAACTCATCTCTAAAAATAAATTCCACTTGAGGTGCCTGGGTGGCCCAGTTGGTTAAACATCTACCTTCAGCTCAGGTCATGATCCCAGGGTCCTAGAACAGAGCTCCAAGTTGGGCCTCTCTGCTCAGTGGGGAGTCTGCTTCTCCCTCTCCCTCTGCCTGCTTATGCTCACTCCTTAATAAATAATCTTTAAAAACAAAACAAAACAAAACTCCACCCATATACTCCACCCACCTTTAAAGAAAACCACATGAAACCTCAGTAGCTTCTTAAGCACCTCTGCAGAATCAAAAGTCCCTGTAGAACTTAATACAGAAAAAACTTACTATTTTAGAAATACTGAATTCTGACTTGTAGTTTTTAGTTCTATCCATTTACTGGCTAAGTAATCTTGAAAAAGTCAAGTATTCTAGACTGCATACATTTACGTAAATTGAGGGCTCAGTTTTATGATTCTACTCAACTTAAATACCATCCTATATTTAAAATAATTCATAAAATAAAGCTACCTTAAAAAAGCATCACTGACACATAAATTTTGTATTACAGCAATAGCCATATTTAGTTACATTTTTTCCCCAGAAGAGTCAACTAATTCTTTTAACCTGTTATCTATGGAATTGCCCTCATTTACTGCCACACTGCCCACCTTTACCCCCACATATTTTTCTTACCAATCAACTAATATCTTCATTTGCTAATAAGTATACACATACATGCCCACATATAAAATATATAAGAAATTCCTTTGGAAAAGGAAAAAACAGAGTACACACTTAAATTTGCTCAGCTTTTTAGTGCTGGGTGTGTCCACAGATAAACAAACAAGGACACTGGTATCCATGATAGTGTTTCTGTCCTCAAACACCTTTATGTAACTTTTAATCTGTAAATTCTTTTTTTTCCAAGTTGGCTTGATGTCTACCATGGGGTTCAATGCAGGGCTTGAACTCATGACCCTGAGATCAAGACCTATGCTGTGAAGAGTCAGACACTTAACTGACTAAGCCACCCAAAGGCCCCTTAGTTTGTATTCTTATTAGGGATTACTAATACAATTAAAATACAATTTGTTGGGTGCCTGGGTGGCTCAGTTGGTTAAGCAACTGCCTTTGGCTCAGGTCTTGATCCTGGAGTCCCAGGATCGAGTCCCACATCAGGCTCCACCTCCACAGGGAGTCCGCTTCTCCCTCTGACCTTCTCTCCTCTCATGCTCTCTCTCACTGTCTCTCTCTCAAATAAATAAATAAAATCTTTCAAAAAAACCCCCACAATTTGTTAAGGTTGGGAAAAATATGACTACTCAAATTTAATTATATACAGATTCTGTTACTTGTCTGAAAAAGCAAGAGCAAGACAAAGCAAATTCTATGACAGGGCTGTTGGTCACCAAATAAATGTACATATAAGCAAACTAATCTTTTTTTAAAGATTTCATTTATTTGAGATAGAGCGAGAATGAGATAGAGAGAATGCACGAGGAGGGGGAGCAGCAGGCAGAGGGTGAAGCAGGTTCTCCACTGAGCAGGGAGCCTGATGTGGGGCTTGATCCCAGGACTCTGAGATCATAACCTGAGCTGAAGGCCGATGTTCAACTGAGTCACCCTGGTGCCCCAACCAAACTAATCTTGGACAAGGAACATTTAATCTTCAACTAGTATCAAATGATTGTATGATCAAATGCTGGACTAGAAGGGGACTATTTTGTAATAAGAAAAGCTTTGTTTCACAAATTAATAGGAAGAGAAACCAATTTATGATTTGGTGGTTGGAAAAAACACTTCGTAGGAAACTATCAAGGAAATAGTCCATCAGGAGGTTTTTATGATACATGTAGTGGCTAACAATTAATAAATATTCAATAGTGCCAAAAAAGCATTATTCTCATGCAGATAATTACTATTAACTAATATCAATAATGAACTACAGATGTTTAATTTTAGAATTAGTAGTTTTGCTGTTGAATACATCAGCACTGTACTAATTTTTTGAGCTCCTTGAACACTGGGGAATTATATTCCCCAAATCAAAAGTTCAAAAAATGTTTAAGAAGCTCCTGAAATAGCTGTTCAGTTTCTCTTCACATAAAATCTGATACCCCATACCACAAATTAGGAATAATTAAATAGGAGTTTAGCATTATTAGTCAAACACAATGAAATGGCAAAATGCCCATAAAAGGATAAGTCACAAATATAAAAACAAAATTGATATTCTCTGGATTGTTAAATTGTTTAGAATCATCTATTTCAGAAGGCAGATGAATAATGTATCAGTTAACAATGATTCTTTTGATTTTAATGCTGTGTCTAACTCAACAGATAGTTTAAAAAGACATTAAACAACAGATTTTCTAAAATGTTACTGAACACAAGAAATGTTATGTCTCTTGATTTTTCTTTCAAAATCATAGCAAGCCTTTATTTACATCAGGAATGTAATTCATGAAAAGATATTAAACAGTGTTTTGATTACAGATAATCCATAAAATGTAGCAATGAGTTGTTCTTACCTGCTGAGAATGTTGTATGGGTAGGGAAGATGGAACGCCTGTTAAGCTACTTGAGGATGGTTGACCCTGGCTTTGCCCCTGTGCCTGAAGGAAAAAGTAAATACAACAAATTAGCGAAGCCCTAATTAAGTATATAGAGAGGTCAGGCTTTTGCAATAAATATTTAAACTCCTGAGAGTTTGCTTGAGCAAAATAAAACATTAGCTTGATTAAGCTAATCAAACATTAGTATGGGAGAGACCGCTGGGGCATCTTTTATAAGAAAGGTTAGGGAAGGATTCTATCACAGAACATATCCTGATCCCACACGAAAACCACTGATGGTTAAAACCTAACCTAATACTGTTGTGCTCCAGCTATAATTTTACCTGACAAAATACTAAAATTCATAATAAAATTCTTACTGAAATATAATAATCAGGAAAATAGTAGAATGACTATTGATGTGAAAAAATTCCGCATCTGAACAATTAAAGACAAAAGGGGATTTGATAGTGCTAATCCTTTTGCTACTTCTTGTAGTGCTGAGGTGACTTCTATCAAAAATGTAAAAAAATCCTGTTATCATCACAAACCTAGAGCAACGGCTGTCAAAACTAGAAGTGATTTTGCCTCCCAGGGATCATGTGGATGTCACAACTGAGGGAGGTGACTGCTACAAGCATCTAACGACTAGAAGCCAAGGATGCTGCTAAATAACCTACAATGCACAGGATAACCCACAACAAAGAATTATCCAACCTAAAACATTAGTAGTGATGAATGTGAGAAACCCTGATCTAGAAGAAGTCTAAGTCAAGATAAATGAGGTGAGAAATCCTATATTCACAGGATTTTATAAAGTAAGTTAAGGAAATGAAAAGGCCCACCTTTGGCATTCAATTTCAGTTTAGAGGGGTTTCTCTGAAGCTTACTTGGATCTGACACTCTACTGTGTCTTAACCACTACTAAGTATGCATTCTTCCTGCAGTAGGTTTGGAAATTAACCACCTGGTATTTTGCTTTGGAATGTTTAAAGACAAATGGCTAGCAGTGCATTAGGATTTATAGTACAGGCTAACGACTGGTGCACTAATGTGAGTATACTGCATGCCCGTGCAGCATAATTTTCAAGTTTCTGGATCTTTTTGCTTCTTAGAACTATTCTAAATAACTGATACTTTATGTACACTTTTGGGACTGTTTATGCCTCTTATGAGGGAAGAACACAGGAAGAAAGTATCAAGAACATACAATATTTTGTAAGAATGGAAAATCTAGAAGATCCAAATGATGCCTTGAATATATAATTGGAAGTCTGCTAGATTTTATCAGACTTATACATTTGATAAAATATATGGAATACATGAAATAGTTAATACTGATTCCACTTGTTGAATTCTATTATGTCCATTACTTTGTCTTTATGTGCAGGAGAGTACATACACCCATATATATAAATAACAAATTAACTTGTTGAGGAAAGAATTAAGGCCTGAAATATCTGTTTCTTAGCTTGCAACATATATCAGAAATTTGTAAAAACAAAAACCCCCACCAACATTAGATTGTAACTTTGTTGCTAAAAGTTAGAATCAGTCAATTTTATGGATTAACATTTTATTTGGACATGTAATTTACAGTGACTTGTTCAAATAATGCCATTTTAAAAGGCATTTTCACTTGTTCCTAAATTCTTAAGATGTTTCCTTTCTGTTTTTTAACTAATGAAAATTTTGTCTATTCCACACTAATGAAAATTTTGTCTATTCTTAATACTCTTAAAAAGAAATCTCCCTATTTTCCATTTTTTTTTTTTTTTTTTGTTTTACAGAAAACAAAGTTATCCTTTCTTTTTCTTTAAAAAAACCGGTCATGTTTGTCTCCAGGGAGAAAAAAATACTTCACATTAGCATTTATAAATAATCAATACTGAGTTAATTTTACAATACAGCCATTTACATTTTCACTACAAGTTGAAATTATTCTATGTACAAATAGATTTTTAACAAGTGACTAAAATTCTATTTTTTGTGTTCTCTTTCTCAAGGGTTTGCGCGTATTATAGGTAAATGAGGCAGCTTCTCTCTCAGTTTGTTCTTACATACAAGTAGTCTGTAAACCCCCAAAAGGAGAAACTCTACTAATAAAATTAAAAATAATCCTTATAAATGGAAAGGACAGACAGAAAAATGTAATGATGCATAGCAGGGTAGTTTAAAAGAATTGTGGAAGTTTTCCTATAACCTGTGGATGGAGTGCAGATCCTCCTGAAGAAAATGAGGCAGATAAAACCTGCTGAGATGTGGTTCCTTGGGGGAAACAGAAGAAAAGTGGGGATTCTTGGAACACTGTCTGAGGCAGACGGATAAAGGGTAACGAGACGTCAGAGCCAAAAGGTGCAGCTGCTCCCCCTGTAGGGGGAGGTGACTGAAAATCACTGGGGTCTGAAGAAGTAATTTGTGAGGAATCACTGGAATATTCTGGGCTTCCTATTGGCCAGTTCTGTCCCATAGGCTCTACCACAGAAACGGTCAATTCTGGGGCATGGTAATTACGCTGTTCTTCAGTCACGGGCTGTAGGCGACCATGCAATCCAACTGATTGAGGAGGTGGTTCTTCCTGATTCAAGTCCACTGCAACCTGTCGACTTCGGTAAGCACGCTGAGGTAAAACTCCTCCTCCTTCTCCTGAAGAGGAGCTTGGAGTATGAACATGAAACTCAAATACACAATTGCTTCTGCTCTCATTGTTATGAGTTAATACAGCGGGTGCAGAATGAGGAACAAAGACAGGGTGAAATTTCAAACGTGTAGCATCTGTACTGATAGGTGCAGAAATACTAGAGAGGGGAGATCCTGGACTCAATCCAGAATCTAATCTTAAATTCTGAAGGTGTCCTACCAGGAAAGCCTGTCCAGATGGAAATTCAAAGACAGAACTTGAGGTAGGACCCCCTTGTACTGGCTTCTGTTCAGGTATCTGTTTCATAGGACTTGACAGTATTGGTGAGCTGTATGGAATACCCTCATACTGTTCTGTCACCTGGGCCTGGTAAGCTAGATATACTGCTTCCTGAGGAATAAAATAGTGAGCTTCTTCTGGAAGTACTAGTCCAGGTCTATAGTCACCGTGAACTTGAGTTGATTCAAACATAGGATGGACCTGTATCTCACATGGCTCTCCAGTTACTCTACTGGCTGTAGTGCCCAACATAACTACAGCCTCTGGTGTCCAGTTAGTTGGGCTGCCACCAGGTGGAAGAAGATTTTGGCCAACAGTCCTCAGCAGGGGTTGGAAGTGGCGAGTTTGGGCTTCCAAGAAGGAGGTGCTCTTACGCCGCTGGGCGATGGCCACCTTCGGTGGACAGGTGGGAGGTGGTGAAAAAGAAACTGGACGTTCATGAATAGTTGGGAAAAATATCTGTGATTCTGGGTATGTTGGGGTCCCCCCACACGGATGCGCCATGGACTGAGGCTGTATCAACATGAATAAGACAAGTAATTCATACATTCATATGTGAAATTACAGTAGACATGCAAAACTGGGTAGCTCTGTGTAACCCTATGAAATGGTTACACCAAATTTATAATTAATAAATAACAATCCTTTTGGAAATTATGTGCATAGTAAAAATCCATTAAATACATCCAGGGTCAATAAAGTTATTCTGTGGGACTCTTGGCATCAGATAAGAGCTGCTTTTCCACAACATCCTCTCTCAGAGGAAATGGAAGAACTTTCTAAGTGTTTATTGTTTTTACCACCAATAAATATTCTTACTCTTTAACACATAATGTAAATTGCATCAGTGGAAAAAGAGTTAAAATAGTAAGAGTTAAGGGAAGACAGTAAGACAATATAAGCCCAATATTTTAAAAAGGTAAGATACTTAAATTTAAGCTGCAATACAAAGTTTTCCTATACTCTGTGTTCTTATTATCCAGTGCTGTTAGAGGCTCCAGTGTCATTTTCTTATCAATTAATCATATGCCTTCTAACTAGAAATCAAAACAGGTATTTTTGGTGGACAGCAAAAAACACAGTAATGTACTTTTCCCATCTATCCCAGACTAGATGCAGTTAATTTCACTACATGAAAAATGTTACAGATGCCAAATCACTGCATGTCCACTTTTCTGATCCTAGTTAAGGGTTGCGTAATTTGGTGTTCAAATCAAGTGAAAAGGATAATATAAATAACACGGACTTAACAGCACTTTTTATATACAGAGGCAGTTCTACACATAAGACTCTAAATTCAAAATCCTACCTTGCCAAATGCAAACAGTGTACTTTCACGGACTCTTTTTAAAAAGAGTAGATTGGTTTCATTCTTTTGTAGGAATGGTCCCTATCAAATTAGTAAAATAGCTTAACTGTTACTTCTTCACAACAGCTAAAAGAGGGCTTCTATTTTAAGCCAGAATGTTACATTTTCCTCTTTATTCAAGGAGAGTCCCAAAGTCATAAAATACTATAGAGTTAATCATTCTCCTGAGTAAAAATCTGAAGATTCTGGTATTGCCAAATCAAAAAATTAACTATATTCTCTATCTGGAAAAGCAGCAGCAAGGTCCCACAGTGTTTAACAAAACTTTAAAAGACGGATCTTTTACAGATATAAATAGGGCCAAAGAAAATCTTATGTACTACATGTCTATCTAAGATACTCATTACGGTCAAGATCCCACCTTCTTTAAGAAAAAAATTCCACAAGGGAACATGTGGCCTTTTAGTTTGCCAAAACACCATTTTAAACAGCTAACAAATTAAAAACCAACTTTCACTCTTTAATTACTCTTCACTATGGGGAAAAAAGGAACTCATACAGCTTCATGAATGTCTCTTTAGACTAAAGTGAAGAGAAAATGTATTCGGGTTATTTCTGATAAAGAGAAAATTTGCTTTTGATTAAGCCAATGAATTTAAAATGAAGTAATATGTATTCTTTACTAATGTGTGAAAATGCAAAGATTTGTACAAGTCAGTTGGGGAATATAATAAAAGCCAAATTTTATTGTGTACATATTCCTATGTGCCCAGGGCATTATTCGCATTCTCTCTCATTACCTCCTTGCTTCCCCACTGACCCCCTTAAAGCCTTGTAACAAGAAAGTTTCCTATGGGAAGAACAGTTATTCTGAAAGCATAATATATTACTAAGTGTAGTCCTTTTATTTATTTAATTTTTATTAAAATTCTTGATGCCTGGATGTATTCATTGGCAATAAATTTTCATTTGTCAGGAAGTTTATGGTTACATACAGTACTGACAAAGAGGGAAGGCAGGCTGGAGCGTCGGTGCTTGCGCTGAGAGGCAGAGTGCATAGGCAGGACACTCTCCAATGCTTTAGAAAGCTTTTCGGCAAAAGTTTCCTCAGGGGCAATCCGAAGGAGGGAAGGAGAAAGAGGTGCAGACAGCACTGGTGGTGGGGTGGAAGGAGCACTGGGAGAGATGCGGGACAGAGAGGGAACAGCAGAAAGATGGGGAACACAAACCGACATGCTACGGCCACGACGAGGCTAAACAGAAAACAAACACACACATGAAAAACACAGTACTTTGAAAACAAAATAACCAAATGTACAATGAAAATAGGGCATAGGTGACATAAAGAAGTGTTCCAACCTCCCTCAATCCCACAAATCCAAGTTTTTTGAGGAGAGGTATAATTCCACAAAGCACAACTGGCAGATCACAACTATTCTCTCTATACTGTTGGTCAGATACAGGTTATCAACAACCATGATAATGATCAATTCTCTTCCTAAATATTCTGAAATAACATCAATTATTATGAATGTATGAATAAGAATGGCCGACTAAGATAGTATAACAGGGAAAATAATGAACACTGGATTGCAGTTTTCTGCAAACTTATTAAAATTAAATAAGAGCAAATTGTTAGTTTAATACACATTATAAGGTGTAGAAGACTTTAAGACTGGACTACTTTATAGGAACTCTGGAAACTTCAGAAAACGTTTTTCCATTTCTATTTTAGAAGGCATCAGCCTAAGAAAAGTTGCTGGCTCAGTATTTTATTTATTCCACTTCCTATCTTTATCCGTAAAGGGTAGAAAGTCATTTTCTGGTAGGAAAAGCATGAGCTTTCTAGAAGTAATTCACAATAGATACAGACACATTGTGTAGTTTTACTAAAGTAGTCAATGGAAAAACATCTTATATTTGAATCTCTAAAGAGTAAATTGAACAATTTTCTGGCATATCAGAAATTCAAATTAAGTTTACAAAGTCTGAGGTGCCTTAACATAAAATTTTTATAACATAAAATTTTAATACAGCTACAAAGCAGTACACCTAATATTGTTAAGGTTGTCCTGAGCAAACTCGTCACTTTCTTTCAGGTACTGTGAACTGTGTCACTAATCATATTTTCTTTTCTAAAATTGGTTGCATAGAATCCACTGAGCCAAATTTGTCACCTACCAGTAGGAAGTATGAAAGTATCATTATACTTATCATACTTAGTTCATTCCTGGTTCTATTTTTCTCCATACTCGTTTCTTTTTTACTCTAATTTTTTTTTTTTTAATTCCACATTGATATATTATTGTAAGCCACAATAAATTCTTTCTGGAGTAAGAAATCATAAGGAATCATAAGATTAAAAAAATTCTCAATATTTGATAACTCTTCATAGGCTACCTCCACATAATACTGTCAATAAAAGGCAAGGCTGTCATTAACAGTCTTTTAGAGCATCAATAAATACAGCTATGTTTGTGGCTCAAATATTTAAAATCTTCATAAATGATCATTCTATTCCCTTTTCTCAAATTGAAACACCTAATGTTCATTACCATGTGATTAGGGAAGCCAAGAGATTAAAAATAGTTTTTAAAAAATCTAGTTATTATGATCCAAAGAAAATCAATTAGAATAATAGTAGAAACGGACATGAAATGCTGACAAATTATACGTCAGAACAAAGAAATACATCTATATAGTCTTTATAAGTTCTTCTACCCTACCTAATTATTTTAAAGGTCAGAAAAGTAAACTGTTAAAACAGTGTATTAATAGTCTGTGTTACTGTGGCCATTCATCTTGAGACCTAGACAATGCAGGACTGATGAATGGACTCTGAAACAAACAAACATCTTTTATTTCAAGCTGTAGGATAAAAGAACAGAGCAAGCAGAAATTTTATTTTCTTAAGAGAGAAAGATTTTCATTTAATGCAGAGCAGAAATTCCATACATTCAGATTTAAAAGCTTTTTGAGAAAGAGAAAAAAAAATCTATCTGCCTAAAGATCTCACTAAATAAGTGCTATATAGTGACCAGTTATTCTCCAATTCTTTCATGAGGCAGATGATGTACCTTATTTATCTCTGAAGACTTCATGGAGTGTCAACAAAAGAAATGGGGTATTACCTGATGATCTATTTTAACATTTTCTATATGAAAAGCAAAAGTGACTAATGTAAAACATGGGTCTATGTGTGTGTGTGGGGGGTGTTTTAATATATATATGTATATATATAAATGCATACAATATTTCAAGAAATAATCTCCATAAGTTGAGTCTGAAAATAAATCTGTAATAAAACAATACCAACTAAAGAGAAAAAGCAAATGAACGTATACTGGGGAAGGAATTTGTGTCCGACACAGACTTTAAGGCAGGAACACGCATAGCAACTGATGGTTAACTAAACACAAGCGCTAAATTAAATGGTCATACAAATAAAGGATTTCTTCACTTTACTCACATGCAGCATTCTATAAATGGTTTGAATGTCTTACCTGTGTTTTATACAGTAAGAAATCTTACAAAAAATGCTCAGTAATTCTTTTAGTAAGTAACCTTTTGAAAAATCTCCTTGTGCCCACCCCCAAATCATCTGTATGTCCAACTTATGCTGCTTTGAACAGTTTCAACTCTAAAGTGCTAAAGAGAGCATTATCTTTAATCAAATGCAGATTACTCTAAATCTTATACATACTTTCTTCACATATGAATTTCGGCTAATTCTCACACAGTAATGTTTATGTCTTAGCCTGCCAGAACTATTCTAACTGTACTCTATAATAAACTTATTTCCTTCAGAAATATACCATTTATACTTTCTACTTCAGACTTCTGCTATTACTTGGATAGTAGAAAGAATGTGAATTTAACACATTACCTACTGGCTCTGGTTATAGGCTTACACTCTTTTATGCAGTTACTTACCACACTTGAGGGTGGATAGACCCCATGGGGCTGAGATTGTGCTTGGACAACAGAAGCTGTATGCCCTGGGAGTGTGCCAGTAGAATGTGCCTGTTCATGCTGGGACCCATATGAAACTGTCTGTTGGCTGCTCACTCGAGATTCTGTGAAGACAGAAGATCCTTGACCACTGTCAACCGTCCCGTCAGCTAAAGGAGAAATACATTGTCAAAAAACAGAAAGACAAATCACAAAATGGAGATTTATATTTTCCCATTACAAACCCATGACTTTAGGGTTAATTAGTTTTTTCTTTGCAAAGACTAACCTAAATAAAAAATGAATACTAGTTTTTAACTAAGTAGATTTCTGTGTTTAAAAACATGAAGGATCCATATGGAAAAAAAGGTTTAATGTCTTTTTAAAAAAAAA